ACCGGATGCAGCGATCAATGCACTCCTTCTCGCCCGCATTCGGCAGCCCCGCAAACCGCTCCAAACGTCCTTCTTCGCTCTGGAACATACCACCATACACACGTGTTGTGAAAAAACGGCACTTTTCGATATATATATATATATATATATATATGAGAATATCCATGAATTCATTACAATCAAAACCGTGGGTAAGAAACCCGTTGGGACACTAGTCATGGTTGTTCGAATTGCTCGCGTGTTGGCCAAAAAAAGATACGATTAGGCCAATTTTGGGGGATTGACACATCGACCAAAAAACAAGCATGGTGATTGGCCAAAAAGAATGACGGTTGCAATATGATTGGTTTAAAAGATTGAATGTTGGCATGTATTTACAATAAATACCTGTTAAACTTAATCACATATATATGCGATTTCACAGGTCTGGCGATTGTTTGGCGGTTGGACCACTTGAGTAAATTCAGAGTCGAACACGCAATAAAAACGATACAACAAACTAGGATACATTTGTCCAGTCAAATACTTCAATAAAAGAGGTATAATTTTGCCTATTCATATATACATTTATATATATATATATATGCATGATACCTGGAGGCGCTGAATCAAGTCGTTTGCGGTCAAGTTGGATCGGGTGTTGGCCAGGGCGCGACCGATCACGCGCAGGGCCAGTGGGAGGTACCCGCAGATACGCGCGAGACTGCGGGCTTCATGGACGCTGCAGAGGGGGTTGCAGAGGCGCAGGAGGCTCTCGGAGAGCGACGGAGACAGCTCGTCAATCGTGTAGTGCTGCAGGGTCACGTTCGGGATCACGGGGGCGCGGCGGGATGCCAAGAGGAACCGCGTGTTGCTGGCACACGCGACGAGCTGGCCGAGCCACGCCTGGGTCTTGTCTTGGTCAAAATCCAGCAAGTCTTCCACCTTGTCCAGTACTAGCAAGCAACGCTTGGTGCTACAGAATGAATCACGTGACCCAAACAAGTGATCGACGTATGGTGGATTCATTCGATAGTACAAATTTCCAGACCCCATCGAATCAATCTCTCGAATCACGAATCAACGACGCTAGGATTGGCTAATCCAAATTTTTTAGTGGATTTGATTGGCTCTTACGGAAAAGACCAGTATATTCAACCAATCAGACCTTCTTGGTACTAGTATTGATTAGACAAACCACCCGCATTTTGGAAGTTTATAGCGAATTCACAATATTATTGTTGCACTGGTTAGATTGGGAGAGAATCAAAGACGGCTGCTCATGAATAAATACGGTACGGAAAATGCCACGAAAAGAAGGGAAATAGAAAAAAATATCATCCATATATATATATATATATAATACTATCTATATAATATGGATTAAAATGCAATGTCTATAAATAAAACGATACGTCAAAGTACTTTGAAGTAGTATATGTATATATATGTATTGAGTAAAATCACTTCGAATAATTAATTAGACCTTTAATCCCGTCCTTTTAGGGGTAATATATATATATGCAAGTATTCGACACATCCAATGACAGGGTTTTTAGAGTAGCATCACCACACTGTCGATGCATCGATATATAAAGAATGATGGTCATTTAGTATAATTCTTTCAAATAAGAGATACAGAGATCTCGACATACCCGAGCTCGGCAAACACTTCGGCGTCGGAACTCGACTCGGAGTCGCCCGTGGACAGCCCCACGCTGCGCGCTATGGCGTACCTATATACATCCACCATATATATATATATATATTGAGTGAAATATGTCAACTGGGATAGGAGACGGATCGAACAAAATGGCCGTTAAAGGCGCCGCAGACACCGCATACAAGGCACAGATTGAATTCCGCAAAAGATCCCACATCTCGTACCGCACAGCACTGAGCTCAAGCCCTTCCAAGTCGACGTAGAAGACGCCGTCGGGGCACACGCGGCGCTGTAAAATATAATGCGCCGCCGCCAACGCGAGCGAGCTCTTGCCGATGCCCGGAGCCCCAGTGCACACCTGTGTAATATTATTATTATATTATTATAGATACCATCTCCACAATGCATATATGTATGATGCACGCAATAGAATTCGTTCAAGCACAACGAATCATCGCATGAACGCAGAAATTCATAACACAGTATTCGCCTCTTTTTTTATGCATTTTTCACTATAATCTGTCAAAAAATAAACTCTAGGTGACAAAGGGGTGAAACACGCATATATATATTGTCAAGTCGATTCGAAATTGGAGTGTTTTTGGGTGGTGCTCAATTGAATTAACAGAAAAAACCAAATCGACAGACATATCGATGATATACGACCAATCAAAACCCAGATCACACGAATCAAGTACCCAATCAAATACTCCACTCTTGGCCCATTTCAACATCGAATTCGTGTTTGGTTTAAATTAGTGTGAAACGATTTGTACATACAAAAATTCAGTACAAAGCATCGATCGATAGATTTGGCAAAAAATCCGCACAAAAGTCAACCAAATTTTGGGTAAAAGGACAATACCAAGGCCTTCTTACCGTGACGTGGCCGCACCAGATCGACCGCACGAGGCGGTACGTTTCGACATGTCGACCGACAAACTAGGTCCACAACCATAGCGTCCGTATGAGACACTTTAAACGTGTGAAGTTTTTACATGGGCACACACACACTATTTCCTACCTACCTGCTTGGACATGGCGGGGATGTTGGACGGGCACGGCGGCGTGAGGTCGACAAATGACCCGCGCGCCATGGACGGAAAGACCACGACGCGGTGATCGGCATGGGTGCCGACGAGGAGGAACTTGCTGCTTTCGTCGTGGGGGAGCTTGACCCCGGGCTTGCAGCAGCAGTCGGTCGGTGAGTGTTTGGCGTGGATGCCGCCGCCGAGCCACCACTTGCACGTTTTCAAGTGGAGGTGGCTACGTACGTACGCACCAAGATATTTACAATCTGTGAAAACTCTCATCCTTTACACAGCATGGCCCGATATAAGAACAACACCAAAAAAGAAAACGAATATATATATATTTGCTTTAGAGTTTGGTGGTCTTATTGTGTGATATTCAATGCTGACTTTATCGACATAATCAAATGTGCACAAGACTCAGCAGAAGCAGTTAGCCAATCCGATTGCAGCAACTCGTCCGTTTTCAACCAATCAATAACGAATTAGTGTGGGACTGAAATTAGTGTGATGGGCATCACCCCTTGATATTTTTAAACCGTAAATACAAGTATCAGTACAAAAACACGATCGATGGATTTGCCAAATGTCCAAATAGTAACTACAAAGACTAGAAATGTACCTACCTGCAGCAGCACGCGCGGTGCGAGTTGGTGGACGCGCTGAGTTTGATGGCTGTGATCGCGTTCTGAAACGACGCCGCGACCGTCTTGCCAGCAAACAGCGACAGGTAAAAGTGCTTGGCAAAGTCTCTGGCGCTGGCGTCGACGATGCGCGAGTCCGAGTGGACGGCGATCACATGCGGCACCCCCGCGGCCTCGAAGACCCTGGCCACGGGCTCGCTGTGGCACGAGCTGACAAACACCACCTGGAGCGACGTGTTGGACGAAGATGTGAGGAGGCCGTGGAGGTCGCCGCGGGAGATCTTGTGTGTGAGGCCGTGTCCGTTCTCAAAGCAGAGTTCGTGCTGCGACCCGACGCCATGCCCGGAAAAGTGCAGCACCTAGGCAATGTTGTGTGGTGTGAAATTCGACAGTAGCAACGAAGAAAGGTGGTACCTTGACGTGATACGCAGTGAGCAACGACTGGAACGAATCCACGGTCGCCACTTCGAACCGCGCGCGGATGCGCTTGTCGGGGAGGTGCCGCGTCAAGATGTCCGTAATCGCCGCGCGCTCCGTGTCCAGGTCGAGTTTCTCCATGAAGTGGTACATCTTTCCCATGGCGTTGGCGGTCGGTGCCTCCATGACCAGCGGGGATGCTTGCAGGACGACCAGCTCCAGAACGCTGAGAAAGAACAAGCAGCACTGGTGACGCAGACTCAAGTCCGACAGAAGGAAGCATGGAGGAAGGAGGAGGTACCTGTCGACGTATTCTTTGATTCCGTTCACAATGCGGTTACCATGCCCCCATGGCATCTTGAATGCTTTGTTCAGAGTCTCAGTGTCATTCAACTCGATGAGACATGCGCCGTCAACCGCTTGCTGCCGGAAGACCTACTCATGAGCATGAACCACCTGGAACGAGTGGATACATATGCACCGGCGACGTCTACCTCCACATATTCGCCAAGACCCTTTGCTTGGAGCCATTCCCCGACCTCTTGGCAGGTCCAGGTGTCCATGGCGAAAGGAGGCGGCAGATAAACGGGCGGTGCCTACGATCTCGTACAGATTTCAGCCAATGAATGCGGCTCATTTTTATGACAAGCGTCTTGGCCAATCAAATCACTCAATGACATTGTCGAGCCAATCAAATCTGCTTGAATCCCACCCAACATCCACCAAGAGTCATCTGGCTCCACATTCTTGCGGTGATGGCACGGCAACTTGCCGTGCACTGAAGCTCCATGGATCAGTTGACGCGTGGCATGCGCATAGGCACACTCTATCAACGGGAGTGCTGGAAGGAAACATGAAACGGCCGGTCGTGTAACGACCACAACAGAATTAGCTACCCCAGTCAACCCGCGACTGCGATGAACCCAGAAGACGACAGCGCGGGTGCCACCACCAAACACGCGACGGCGGAAGGACTCAGTCGACCTCATACCATCAAGCCACCCAAGTTCCAGTCCAAGCTCAAGCAAAAGATATCCGAATCGAAAATGCTACAGATCCTAGACCACGACTTGGAAGCGAGCAACCAACTAGATGACGACGAAGAATTGGTGTGCGAGTCCACGATGATCAGTGTCGCAGCTGGCTCTGCCGATACAGTCGAAGTAGGATTTGATCGGCGTGGAGTTCTCAATACCATTCGCTCGATGCACAAGCAGCAGCAGCAGCATCGCCAGCATTCGCATGTCAACAAGGCCAATGTCCCCACCTCGTCCACCTAAGACTCTGCGGTTTATATTTGCCAAACTGAACAAGAACTTGCTGTACATTCACATACTTTGCTTGGCATCGCCAGCTGTAATCGTAGCGTCATAGGTCCTTTTCAACTATAACGTTAGAGGAGCGAACACTGTGGCTGTTCTTGCGTTGAGAGCTGTAGTCTCGCTCCAGATTACAGTACTTTAACCACTGTCGGGTAGACAGTTATGCTGCGTATGCGCCATCTTGGGGCTCTACATTTTGGGCGAATGAATATGGCGGGTGATATCAGTAGCCTATAAATACACGTCGGTGGTTCTTGTTTATGTGAAGTATTATTCACTGTTATCGCCTGTCTCTCGGCGCACCGTTGAAAGCGGCGAAAGCTATGGGCATCAAGTACTCTGTGCAGGCCCTGACACAGACCAAAGAAGGGGGGCTGGTACTGCATCCAAAGTACTTCAAGTACCTGCAGATCCATTGCCCCAACTTTGCCATGGAAGCGTGCAAAGTCACGACCAGGATGCGCGAGATCGTGCTGTCGTCTTGGGAAGCCATCGCGAGCGGCAACACGCCAGGGATGAAGGCCAAGGTGGCCCCTGGCAGCTCCCCCGTCGTGTTCTTCTACGACTACTTTTACGGGTCGTTGTTCAAGACTGCGCCCGAAGTGAAGCCACTGTTCCGGGCCAGTATCATCATCCAAGGCAAGGCGCTGATCAGCATCGTGCAGACCGTGACCAACGAAGCGAACGTGGAGAACGCGATTGAAAAGGTTGTGGACTTGGCATATCGCCACAACAAATACAAGGTCAAGATGGGCTACTACAACGTGTTGGGGAACGTGCTGCTGACCGCGGTCCGCGAGTGCTCGGGCGACGGCGTGTGGAATGCCGAGATGGAAGCGGCGTGGCGACATGTGTATGCTTTCATGATGACTGCTATGTGCCCGATATTATACCACGGACAACAAGACCCGACCGACAAGGAGAAGCAGATGGCCAAGACGGGCAAGTACTTGCACAGTGTGACGTTTCGACGACCCAAAGAAGTCGAGCCGGCGACATCCGTGATTCCCACCGGCCAGTGTCCTGTACCCGGGATGACATCAATCAACCCTGGACAGTGTCCTGTGCCCCACTAACCAACCCCCTCTCCATCGGACGAACACAGTAGCTCGAGTACAACCTGAATTGTAGATACTAGTATATGTACTACTAGTACATGAGAAAGCAAGGCGCAGAGAGGTACAGTATATATTAATAGTTGATAGTCGAATAATCCAAGCAACGTTCATGTAGGTGGTATTATCTTGTTGATAGTTAGGACGATGATGGCCAATACAGGGACGGGAACACTCCTGTAAGTGGAAACAACGCCGTTGAAAACGCCGCGATGCCGCAAATGTACGTGCCCAGAATGACTAGGAGCCAAGAATGTTAGGAAGAACCAAGGAAAAGGCAGGGGATGCATGCATATATATATATATATATACGTGGCTGAAAGCGGTAAAGGGGGTGGTCTGCATTCAGAAACGATAGATCGGGGAACCCCATGAGGTTGCAGAATGAGTGGACACCAACCACCGCGTAAAAGTGACCTACTCACCAGGACGCCGTTCAATCGACATATAGATATGTTTTATACCTGTTCGCAGAAACACAAAGCTGGCGTAGATGCCAAACACAGTCGTGTAGAGCAACTGAAACACTAATCCAAGGAACTTTGTCAGCCATTAAAATGGGATGGGATGCTGCTGTACCAACGATCGCCACGGCTGTACGAACAGGTCGACCGCTCCGAATGTGATCAATCAAGTGGTGTACATGGGCTAAGACAGTTCAAGTCAGATGATACACCCACTCCGGATAGGAAGGACTTCGTACCCACACCAAAGGCCAAGGGGCTCGCAAAGATCGTAGTGGAGACGGACCAGCCAGCATCCATCAGCAGCGGCAACATGCAGCTGCGAAAGGCAAACTCCTCTGTCAACGGACCCTAAGATGGCTGCATAAGCCGCGTTTGAGGACATGGTAGGTACAAAGATGAGGGTGCGCAATGTCGGCAATCGATCAAGGGTAAAGTTGCGATAGACTTGAGTCTCACGAAATGCATCGAGCCAGGTCGCGCCGCAGTTGTGCTGCTTGATGGCGTACACTTCGAGACTGTTGGACACGATGGAGCCTGCGAACAGAAGCATCGTCAGCAGCACTGCGAGCAGCGTGCATGTGACTGTCTCGAGCACGTTGGCGTGGAACCCGAGTTTGTAGGCTAGGGTGACGCCGCCGTCCTATGCAAGTCGTCAATATCTCGACGATATAGCGCAGCCATATCCATCGACATACCTCTTTCTCCGATGCGAACAATTGCAGGAAGAAGGGGAACCCAGCACAGGCAACGACAATGAGCGCGAACCGAGCTAGGATCTACACAAAGGCATCGGCGATCACGACGACATACCCACGCATTGAAGTACATGGCGAGGGTGGTCGCGAGGAAGACTTCGAATGCCCTTGGGGCAGCAGTACAGGATGCCCACGTACACAGCTGCCATGACGAGGCAGGAACATACCGCCGTGACCGGCTTCACGTCAAAACGCATTGTTGGCAAGTGTTGAAACGATGACCAACGCGTCCGGATAACATTACGGTTACAACTAACCAAGCAACATGCCGATGGCAAGGGCAGTGGCGTCGTCGTCGTCGGCGGTGGTGGGGCTTGGGAGGGATTGCATTGCATGGAGGCAAATCAGCACAACCGATGGGATGCGCATGGACACTGCGTCTCGTAGCACGCGAGCGACCTGATGGGGGAAGTACTGCACTTTCAACGCATCTTCAACGGAACTCAGCAGAGCTAGCATGCCCATTTTTTGCGCGACGGACGCCAAGTCGAGTAGATCGGCGCAATCCATGGCTTCGACACGACTGACTGGCGATGCAGTGGTGCGCTGACACATTTGGAGGAAGTAATCCATGCAATGCGATGGGATAGCATGGGGCATGGGAATGGTAGCGCACGTGGCATCCGCGTACAGCATCGTCGCCACGGCAGCACTGTTCTGCATCATGGCAGATTTGGAGACAGATTTAGTTTGACTTGGCCACGTCAGCGTCAGCAACGAGCCATGCAGAAATGGCAGCGGTAGCCGCGGCACAACATTTGGACGGTCGTCGTAGCACGTCGACTTGATGGTCACTGGACAGCACAACTCAATTAGCACACGCAACACGTGGCACCAGATAGCCGTGTTCGAGCTGTCCATCAACACGGATTGAACGGATGGCCACCATTCGTCCGAGGAGGCCATCGTGAGTTTGGTCATAACACAAAGTCCCACGATGACATTCGTGCGCAAGAGGTCGTTGGTAGACCGCACAGCTGCCGACACGAGATGGTTGGAGCTGTCCTCGCCACTGAGCTGTGCTAGGAGCCATAGCCAGGTTGGGGAGTCTTGGCGTTGTACAAGGAGCAGCAAACAGCCCTGCTCCACGAGGTCCTGTGCCAGCACGCCGCCTTCGTCGCTGGCATTGGCCCATTGTACAATAGCTGCGAACACATTGGTCGCGGCTCGTTCAACGTTCGAGTTTGCATGAGCACAAGCCAACCATGCGAGGTAGATGAGGCCCCCAGACATACGAAGGTGCGCCACGGTCTCACGAGAAATGTTGTTGTCATGTTTGGATTTGCATGTCAATAGGTACTTCAGGGCTTCCAAGGCCAACATTTGGAGGTGGACAGAGGCTTGCAACATCGAAGTCAGCGCCTGGAGTAGTCCATGATGGATGAGAAGCCTGCATATGAGGGGCTGGTGGTTCATGCAGGAGGCGAGGAGTGTCATGCCAACCTGGACGCGGCGCGGAGAGTTACGCTGGTGGTCCAGCACGTAATGGGCAAGGACGTGGACGAGTATGTCTGTGTGGTCGAAGTCTTCCAGGCATGCCATGGAGTGCTCCACACAGAGTGTGATGCATTGCAGCGATGCTTCCTGCATGCGATGGACGTGATCGATGATGTCGGACGACTCAACTTTTAGTCGTAAGGGCTCGTCTTGGAGGACAAGGAAGGTAAATGCGTCCATCGCACCTGCAGCACACACGCGATCGACATGATGAGACGCTTTGCATATGTTGATCATGGTCAGCGCCACGAGTTCCTGCGTTTCCCGCGCCGTGGGGTTTGCCATGTCGTACGGGGATATGAGTTTTACACAGAGATTCTCGATGCAATGGGTGGCGACCAGACTTTCTTGGAGTTGAATGTGCGACTTGAGTTGAGACAGTTGTGGCTGCCGCGAAAACAAACCAGACAAACAATGCACCACGGCGAGTTCTACTCGAGGGTGGGCGCAACCGAGAAGCGAGCTCAACGTGGTCCACATCTTTGAATTGGCCGTGAAACGTGCCAACGACGACAGATCTTCGTTGGGTCCTTGCAGGTGGTCCCACACGTCTCTCCACAAGAGAAGTACTCCATGCTCCACGACCTCCCAGTCCGAAGACCACAGCGGGTAGGATGGCATATGACAAGATGATTGATTGCCCTTCCCATTAATCACGAAACGTTTTGAAACTGTCCTTTCGAATGATTGGTGGAATATGAATTCAAAGGATTTTGATTGGCTTATTCTGACCAATTAACACGATTGAAAGATTGTTGCCCAAATCGTGCATTTCCATCTGGCCTTTCTCGGACGACGGCGACGGCGGCGGCATGCGGCGGGGGAAGAGAGTTCCAACGGCGCTAGAAAGCGCCAACAACACCCAAGTTCGGTGTCGATGCGAAGCATCAGAAGAGTTGCAGCGCAGGAATGAAGAAAGGGAACGGCTTTTGAGCGCAAACCGGCAACTCGCGGCGTCTCTGGTACATACCACCACGTCCACTTGCACTGTGTTTGATTTGACAATCCTTTTGTGGAACTAGAACGCAGCAAAATGCGAGCTCGTAACTGGTACTATTCAATTCATCCTTGGATCGTGATGTGCCGAACTGACTCATGCTGGGCTTGTAGCCAAGAAGAACTGTGCCCGAGCCGATATCTTGATGAGTATGTACTGTACATGACTCTTCCATTCTCGTCGTGTATCACACACAATACATTGGTAATCAATAGTGCAATATCATGTGCAACAAGTCAAGGCCCAAACAACACGCCCCATCCACAATCCACCTCTTGCTCGCCAAGATGCGTCGGTGCAATGTGACTTGACACCCAAGTCGTCGAAGGGGACGTCTGGTACCAAGGCAATAGTCCACCACGCGCACGCATCCTCCAAGAATTCCCCTTCCACTGACCAATATCGACCCCACATGGCGTCATATTTGAAGAAAAGAGCGGCGCAGAGGCCATCTTCCATGGGCAAGCCGCCCGATGTAGATCTCATAGTCACGAAAAAGGCACTTCGCGAGCACAAACTCGTCGTGTATAAAGAGCCCAGTGCCAAAGTAAAGCTTCGCCAGGTATGCAACACTTCATATGAGAACACTGTGCATCCCATTGATGCATGCATAGTCTACCCTGCCGATGTACGCCGCCACCACCTCCAACAACGCCATGAACACGGTGCAGCAAACACCGCCATGTAAACGAACGTTCAAACAGCAGCCACCGCCGCTCGTTTCGAACAGTCCAACTCGGGACAACGAGCTTAGCGCCGAGTTGGCTGGCTTGTTGCATGCATGCGACGTCGAAGAAGAGAATTCTCCAAGGTCAAGTTTTACCAAACAGTACACCTCGATCGATGAGGTATGCAAACTCAATGACTACGTACCTACCTACCCCTGGGGCCAACTCGAATGCGTTAGACCTTCCGCTCCATGCATGCCCCTGGCTCTCCCGCTGGCAGTAATGCCGAGCCCGCAGCCAAGAAGCACCGCGTCACCCGCCGCGGCACAAGCATTCCAGAGTACAAAGAAATCAGTCTCAGCCGGAAAATGCGACAGGTATGCCGCATCTCGTCTGGTTGCTGCTGGCTCCATGGACGTGGTAGGGTGACCGGTACTCGTTTCACACGTATTTCAAGTAACAACGACTGTGGTTGTGGCGTAATATATTGGCATGTTACTACTTGGTCTTCATCCGGTGGTTTCGGGGCAGGTACGCCTGGCTCGTTGGCTCTGTAAAGGCACCAATATACCTGTCTTGCAGTACTTGCTTGGCTTTCCTCGCAAACTCCTTGTGATGTCTTTGGATGATACGTCCATCTGGCAACCGCACCAAGATGGTGTTGCTTGGTACCACCGTGTGGGGAGGCACAACGACAGCAGTGCCGATCACGCAGTCGTCCCCGATCACCACGCCATCGCCTACTTCACACTTGGGTTCGAACCAATTGTTGTTACCAATGGATTTGGCCTTGATGATACATCCGCTCTCAAACAAGTTGTTGTCGCCAACAGTCATGGACTCCGCCGTCGCTAGCGACAGCGACAACTCGGACATGTCGTCCAAGATGTTTCGCTCGCCGATTGTGATGTAGATCAGGGGAGACGGGCTGGACGACGAAGATGGGGGAGCATCAAGCACGAGTACGCTACTCTTGGGATGCAGAACGCTCTTGACACCAACGTGTACCCGCGTCAAGTCGATCGCCGCTTCATCGCAAATGAACATCGTGAGCGATTGCAAAAAATGCAAATGTGGGATGATTTCTTAGCATCTCATTGGCTAAATACATTTAATACGTTTTATTGGTTAAAAATGTATCTGAACGACACTTGATTGGCTGGTTTGATGTACATGGTAAACTGTGGATCGCTCGATAACATGAGCAACAAGCGGAAGGAAGAGGCCCTTCCTGCCGGCTTCTTTGACGACCCACTGGCAGATGCAAAGGCACGGAAACTCAACGTGAAGGAAGAAGTGGCGAAAGCTCAAGAGCTGGAGTGGCAAGAGTTCCAGAGCTTTGTGGCGGCAGTTGAGAAGGAAGAAGCCAGCGAAGAGAACGTCAAGACCGCGGCGGAGGAGGCCGAGGAAGGGGAAGCAATGGAGAAACTGCAGCACTTGCAGTATTTGAACAGAGTCAGGAAGACCATCTTGCGCGTGACAAAGGCAGACGACAGCGACGTCAAGGACGAAGACACGGCCGAGTTGGAGCACGACGACAACGTCGACACTCCCGCGGACATTGTCGCGCACGTCATGGAGAAGCGCGCGGCGTTGGAGTTGAAGCGAAAAGCCCTGGAAGACGCAGCCAACGAAGACGAGGACGACGATTTGTTGGACTGGCGGGTCAAGCGATGGTGATTTACAGTAATGTCACCTTAGTCGAAACAATCATTAGGTTCAACGACGATGGCAGTGTTGGGGTACAATCTGTAGGTTTGGCTTGCAAGTCTTTAGGTAGATTGCGACAACGTTCATGGAGGGCAAGTGGTGGCACTTTGTCACACCAGTGTAGTATGTGCCGAGTGCAGTAGGTTGAGCCAGGGGCTATACCTCGACATATGACAGCGAGGGTTCCGACCCCAACTCTGTCGCACTCGCCCATCATACAGCTACGATCGTACTATGCCACGAGTCAGCCGCATATGTGATACAGTGCATGATCATCACATGCCATCGAACATTCCGAGCTCTTAGCTACTAGTATATGCTTAGCAACAACTCTACCAACCACATCTCGATTGGCCGCCAGACGTGGTGCGCACGAGGCAGTGCCCACGACGACCTTTACACATTGAACGGAATAAGGCACTCATATTAATTAGATGAAATTCGTGATAAAGTACAAAATCACACCGCATCCAATCATCAACACGGGCGTGTCCATCGTATGGGGCGCCGTGGCTTCTGCGTACGCCATGGTCGGGGGCAGCACCAACATGGCAATGAGCACTTGAGTGAAGCTGCCGAAATTGGCGTACTGAATGGCGGGGAAGACCATGCCAGACAAAAACACGCACGCCGACCCTTCCCAGCTGCGCGTGTACTTGCGCTTGGAGAAGCACCCGGCCGTCTTGTACTTGTGCTTGCCCCATGCAATTCCCACGGGTTCGGCCAGCCCATCACCAATACCCGTGATGTATATGATGATAAACGTGAGCGCCCCTTGTTCGCCAAACAGCCACTTGAAGAAGAGCAGGATGAACAGCCCTGGTGCAATGTTCCCGGCAATGATCCACTTCAACGTGTGCGGGCGATCTTCGGGGCGATCCAACGAGTTGAATTGCAGCATGAAGAAGGACAGGTTCTCGCGGAACGGCTTGATCAAGACTAAAAACCCGAGCATGGTGAAGAAATCGCCCCAGCCAAGGGCAAGCGGGCCGTGGTAGTCGCTCTTGATGACAAGCGGCACCATGTACGCGGCAAAGTGCTGCAGTTTACGCGTGTAGTTGACCTTGAACGCTGAGTTCTTGTTTGTGATAATGTACCCCTTGTCGTCGACGGAGCAGAAGCAACGGCAGATGATACCCCCAATCAACGACACCAACATCATGCACCCAAGCTTGGGCAATTGCATGAGCCAAAACGTGACGTCCGTGAAGTACTCCGGGGCAAAGATGTACGTCAGCACGATCATCGTGGCCAAGTACAGCAGCATGAAGATCAAAAACACCATGTCGAACGTGTTCACCCAGCTGTCTTCGTAGTCGCCCGCCACTTCGCCTTCTTCACAAAGTGAAGATTTCTCTTTCTTCTTGATCGACGTCAGCGACTCTTTTTCGTCCGTGGCGCCATACTTGGGACCAGCAAACTTGGGCAACGCTTGACTTTGTGGGACAGGCCAAATCCATCGCAGCAGGACAAAGATGAGGAAGAGGGTTACCACAGGCAACAAGATGATCGTGAGACGCTCCGTTAACGTGATGTTGTCTGGCCAGCTACCAGGCACCGCCGCCCCCAGGTCCGGGGCCGCCGTGGTGCTCGCGCTCATCTTGGACCTTGAGAGAAGATATTCAAATGGGCAAAGATTTTTCTGATAGGGATCCTTTCATGGATTTGTAGAGGTTTCGCTTTCTTACCGTTGGCCAGGTGGTTCAACATGCATAGTGAAACCGAATCATGCGTTTTTCGAAACAACCTGTGGCAATGAATACTATCAACCCTACCCTGTATCGATACAAACCCAAGGTCATTTCGTGCGATCTTGAGCGGCCGCCCAAGATACTTGTGAGCAGGGCATACACCTGGTGAGTGGCCCACAACGCTTTGCTCCAAGTTTGTGGAACTGGACGGATGGCCGACGCGACGACTTCAATCCGAGGACTGGTCAGTCACGGCATGTCCATGGCCACCCGTGTTGCTGTTGGTTCAGCCCCCTCAGTAGACAGTGCAGATACTCATTGCAATAGCATGGCACGTTGATTCTGTTCAGGCTAAACTGATTTGGGATGACATTGAGACATAGGAATGATGGGGTACTGTATACAGTCGAAAGTGCCTTTCAGTCATGGACAACGCCTTGCCACTCACGTCGTGGTTGTGGCTTATGAACCAATGGCATCGCAACCAAGTTGGTCAATCGCAATTGCCCTTTTACGTAGTGCTTACTATATATATTGTGCTTTTTCACTCGTTTTGGCTATTCACACCATAAACCTGGGTGTTTCCCCAGTGTTTTAGAAAATCCGTACCGTGATTTAGGATGTCACGTTTCGTTACAGATTATAGGGAGGTCATTTATGCAACTCCCTCGCTTTTGCACATTTGAAAAGTGCAAATCGAAGTTATATCTGCTATTCTCGGGACCAAATTGCACGATTCACTGGTCATCATGAACAACTTTTGATATTACAAATGACACACAGCGAGGACATGCGCCGGAGTTCTATCGTACAGCGATGTACGTATGGTGCCACATCGTAGAAAACCACGCCATCTTCTTGTTTCATCGCGTAGTACATGCAGGTAGCGTGTACTACGCGATGGAATAACAGCCAAGGTGTTTTGGTCACGTCAGCATCACATGTGATTATTATTCCTCAGAGTTACTACAGTACTTGGTATTTGTTATTTAAACCCAGTGAATTAGCTAAAACACCAGGTACAGTATTTATTCAACCATGTAATATTAATATTAATAACACAGTTACAGCAGAAGTACCACTCCATGTAAAACCGCCACCAAAACAAGTGCAAAGCACAATAATAACAGTAACGTTAACGTTACTAGTATGCAAGAAAGCTGCCCGCAACCGCATTTGATTCGCTGGTTTCAAACCAATCAAGGCCACCGATTTTGGATCTAAAGTGAAAGGTCACCAAACCTGACTTTGTACTACTACCGGTAGTAGTAGTATTTGTGACTACATTTCGCAAGCATTTAATTATGCTTACGGGGATATATACGTATAGGTCAACGCCCCATCAAGACGATCATGTGTACTGTACTACCAAGTTTCTCCGAAAAGCACTGTACCTACAGCACGAGGTACTGTAGTAAACACCACTTCATCCCAACTTCCGTAAGTATCATCTACCTGGTAGTTCCAATCATGACGATGTTGTGTGATGGCAACTTCATATATATATATCCTACAATAGTACAGGACACTGGTGCAGTAGTTGTACGAACACGTGCAGAAACTAACGAGTAGTTTAGTAACATTAGTATATGTTTAGGCCGACGTGGACACGTAGATGGTGTTTTTGCTCACGGCGACGCCGACGCGCGAGTCCTTGGACACGACGGTGGTGTTGCTCAAAAAGTAGTACTCGGCGCCGACGTCGGACGCGGTGGCGGCGAGGATGTCGCCCTTGGTGGTCGTAAAGTAGGTTTTGCCCACGGTAAAGTCGGCGTTGTCGATCTTGGCGGCGCCGCCAAACACGACGCCGTTCGCGCCCGACCCGACGCCGACGGGGGCCCCGAGGAACTCGACGACCGTCACGCGCTTGTGCTGCACCTTGTCGAGCGTGCCCGAGTAGACGGCGATGAAGCTCGAGTTGGACACGGGCACGATGTCCAGGGTCACGGCGCCCGACATGGGCGCGGCGGACGCGCCGACGAGGGAGAAGTCGCCGTTGGAGAGGCGCATGAGCGGGGTCACGGGTTCGAGCGAGAACGAGTCCGTGACCTTGAACACTTGGGTGGTGGGGCGGCCGAGGTTGTTGGGGTTCAAGAACAACACCGCGAGGCGGTCGGCGCTAATCGAGTGCACGCTGGGCTTGGGCGACCACCCGTAGAACGAGCCAAAGTCGAACGCACCGGCCACCGCCTGGATGACGTAGTCGCCGCGGAACACGATCTTTTGCGCACTCGTGATGGCCACGGTGGCGATCGTAAGCGCATTGTTGTTGGCCTTGTCGTAAAACGTGAGTGCGACGAGGTTATCCGAGAGCGACGTCGAGTCCAAAAAGTAGGCGGGCTGGTAGTTCTTGTTGCACACTTCGCCCAGCTGAAACACGCCCGTGGCGTTGGCCACCGCCAAGACCACGCACAAGCCAGACCGGTTCACCGGGTTCGAGTTGAACCAGGTGACGACGAACGCGCCGGGGATGGCCGGCACCGCCTGGGGCTTGGAGTTGGTGCACGAGTCCGACCCAGAGTACTCGTTGGCGACGCCGAAGCGCAGCGGCGCGGACACGGAGATGGATCCGTCGGCGGGGGACACCGTGCCCACGTGGATATTCTGCCACCACGAGCCGTTCACGACGTACGTTTCAAATGTGGTCGCAGCGAACTGCGTGGCCGAGATGCGCCCCAGGGTGTTGGACACGGACCCGTTGGCGAGCTGCACCTTTTGCGCGGCCACGGCGGCCACAGACTTGTCGGCGGCAATGTTCACGGGGAGCACGTGCACGACGCCCATGGACGTGGACTGCAGGATCACCGCCTTGGTGTTGCTCAGCGTGGCGATGCCGCGGATCTGGACGCCCGCGAAGCTGTTGTCCTTGGCCACGTCGGCGATCTTGGCCGAGTTGTCCTTGCCCACCGTCACAGTCGTGAGCACGGACGTGGTCTTGTTTCTCAAAAAGTACGACAGGATCGCCGTGTTGGAGTTGTCCACGCCGCTGCGGGCGAGCGACATGAACGCCAGTTCGTCCGCGGGCAAGGGCGCCGCGTCCAGGTACGCGGTCGTGCCGGCGCCCGCGCGCACGGCGCCCGTCGACGTGAAACTCACGACCTTGCTCGCAATGTCCCCGTTCGACGTGAACGCGTCCGCTGTGATCTTGACACCCGAGCTCGACGAGTCGTTGAAGTGGAGCACGTACAACACGATCACGTTCACGACCAACAGCACGATCAGCACCAAGTGCACGACAAACTTGCGCTTGTAGCCGGCCGTGTCGACGGACACGTCTTGTTGGACGTACGGAATTTCAGATGGATTGGCCATGGCGACGTGATGTCTTGCGGACGTGGAAGCCAATTGAAGAATGAGAGGATATGCTAGATGGCACCCACCCACCCACCCACCTTTGTCAAGAGTTAAGGCACTCATCCATTTTCGTGCCTGTTGGGTGAGCCAATCAAGTAGCGTGAATTCGTTTTCGATGGGATTTTTAAGCTAATGAAATCACTTGCTTTGGCTTGGGTGGTCAGAAAAACGCCCACCTGCTGAAACAACAAACTCTGAAAGGCATGGCCGGTGGCCAATCACATCGTGTTAATCCACATCCACACACTATCCTGTACATGCAAATTGGGCGGTGAAGAGCGACCAGAGGCACCTCAATCCCAGATGTGCCTACTTAGTACTGTACTAGTAGTAGCCTCACCCCAAACGTCTGTATCCTCCGCAAGCGTTGGTGCCCCCAAGTCGCCAGAATGTTCAGAAGTCCATTTTGGCACGTGCATGCAAGATCATCCACGCGACGAAGCCCATCACCACCAGCCTATCAGTGGCGACGTCCCCACATGGCGATGGCCACCTATGGGTTAGTTACTCTCAGTACGATTCTATGCCAAAATATTGTACATACCACGTACATTATTTGTACTGTACTTGGATACTTTTATCTACCCCTTTGCCAACCAAACGTACGTACAGTAGAAACGTACTGTATTGTACGAATGTGGATTATGCACCAGCTTGGATAAGTGACAAGATTATGGGACAATTACTGTAGGTGATTCCCATGAAGAGGCAACACACGGCCTTATTTGCTCGTGTGCGTCGCTAGCTACATACAGTACTGTACTACGATCACTCACCCAAGGATAAAAGTGGTGGTTTGAGGAGCAAAGCAGATTTGTTGAGGGCGAAGGTGTAAGTTACTTGTCAGATCGGGGGCCACCCTCCAAAGCCGACCACAGTGGGAGCCAAGATGACGATCTGGACAGAATCTTGTGATTCAAAATCGAGTTGGTTGAAGTTCAAGATTGCGGCGGGGGACATTGGACGAGTTGCTGGACGCACCAACCTCCAACCATTCAAATGCGACCATACGTATCATTTGAGTCATGCACTGAGGTGTTGGCCCATGAGCTCACTCTCACATACTAGTACGTACATGTAGCGCTTGCGTTAGGAACAACACGCCTTCACTTCAGCTGAACGCAGTGCTTTCCACGAGAACTCGACACTCGCTTCCTCCCCTTAAAGTACGTACAGTATACCGGTAAATGCCGTCGGAGGATTTGGTACACTGTCTATGATGACCCCTTGATTGGCTACTTCAATTGTGTAGGTGGCAAGAGTTACCTTTCATTCTTCAATTGGCTTCCACGTCCGCAAGACATCACGTCGCCATGGCCAATCCATCTGAAATTCCGTACGTCCAACAAGACGTGTCCGTCGACACGGCCGGCTACAAGCGCAAGTTTGTCGTGCACTTGGTGCTGATCGTGCTGTTGGTCGTGAACGTGATCGTGTTGTACGTGCTCCACTTCAACGACTCGTCGAGCTCGGGTGTCAAGATCACAGCGGACGCGTTCACGTCGAACGGGGACATTGCGAGCAAGGTCGTGAGTTTCACGTCGACGGGCGCCGTGCGCGCGGGCGCCGGCACGACCGCGTACCTGGACGCGGCGCCCTTGCCCGCGGACGAACTGGCGTTCATGTCGCTCGCCCGCAGCGGCGTGGACAACTCCAACACGGCGATCCTGTCGTACTTTTTGAGAAACAAGACCACGTCCGTGCTCACGACTGTGACGGTGGGCAAGGACAACTCGGCCAAGATCGCCGACGTGGCCAAGGACAACAGCTTCGCGGGCGTCCAGATCCGCGGCATCGCCACGCTGAGCAACACCAAGGCGGTGATCCTGCAGTCCACGTCCATGGGCGTCGTGCACGTGCTCCCCGTGAACATTGCCGCCGACAAGTCTGTGGCCGCCGTGGCCGCGCAAAAGGTGCAGCTCGCCAACGGGTCCGTGTCCAACACCCTGGGGCGCATCTCGGCCACGCAGTTCGCTGCGACCACATTTGAAACGTACGTCGTGAACGGCTCGTGGTGGCAGAATATCCACGTGGGCACGGTGTCCCCCGCCGACGGATCCATCTCCGTGTCCGCGCCGCTGCGCTTCGGCGTCGCCAACGAGTACTCTGGGTCGGACTCGTGCACCAACTCCAAGCCCCAGGCGGTGCCGGCCATCCCCGGCGCGTTCGTCGTCACCTGGTTCAACTCGAACCCGGTGAACCGGTCTGGCTTGTGCGTGGTCTTGGCGGTGGCCAACGCCACGGGCGTGTTCCAGCTGGGCGAAGTGTGCAACAAGAACTACCAGCCCGCCTACTTTTTGGACTCGACGTCGCTCTCGGATAACCTCGTCGCACTCACGTTTTACGACAAGGCCAACAACAATGCGCTTACGATCGCCACCGTGGCCATCACGAGTGCGCAAAAGATCGTGTTCCGCGGCGACTACGTCATCCAGGCGGTGGCCGGTGCGTTCGACTTTGGCTCGTTCTACGGGTGGTCGCCCAAGCCCAGCGTGCACTCGATTAGCGCCGACCGCCTCGCGGTGTTGTTCTTGAACCCCAACAACCTCGGCCGCCCCACCACCCAAGTGTTCAAGGTCACCGACTCGTTCTCGCTCGAACCCGTGACCCCGCTCATGCGCCTCTCCAACGGCGACTTCTCCCTCGTCGGCGCGTCCGCAGCGCCCATGTCGGGCGCCGTGACCCTGGACATCGTGCCCGTGTCCAACTCGAGCTTCATCGCCGTCTACTCGGGCACGCTCGACAAGGTGCAGCACAAGCGCGTGACGGTCGTCGAGTTCCTCGGGGCCCCCGTCGGCGTCGGGTCGGGCGCGAACGGCGTCGTGTTTGGCGGCGCCGCCAAGATCGACAACGCCGACTTTACCGTGGGCAAAACCTACTTTACGACCACCAAGGGCGACATCCTCGCCGCCACCGCGTCCGACGTCGGCGCCGAGTACTACTTTTTGAGCAACACCACCGTCGTGTCCAAGGACTCGCGCGTCGGCGTCGCCGTGAGCAAAAACACCATCTACGTGTCCACGTCGGCCTAAACATATACTAATGTTACTAAACTACTCGTTAGTTTCTGCACGTGTTCGTACAACTACTGCACCAGTGTCCTGTACTATTGTAGGATATATATATATGAAGTTGCCATCACACAACATCGTCATGATTGGAACTACCAGGTAGATGATACTTACGGAAGTTGGGATGAAGTGGTGTTTACTACAGTACCTCGTGCTGTAGGTACAGTGCTTTTCGGAGAAACTTGGTAGTACAGTACACATGATCGTCTTGATGGGGCGTTGACCTATACGTATATATCCCCGTAAGCATAATTAAATGCTTGCGAAATGTAGTCACAAATACTACTACTACCGGTAGTAGTACAAAGTCAGGTTTGGTGACCTTTCACTTTAGATCCAAAATCGGTGGCCTTGATTGGTTTGAAACCAGCGAATCAAATGCATTTTAGAGAGTTAAATGCAATGATTTTATCCAATTGAATAGACTCCCACCACCTCGTAGCCGAATCCTAGAGCGCGGAATTCAAACTCTGGTTTTATATTGATTTGATTTTAGTATTGAATTCGGCTTTCACGTAATTTATTTCAATTTGGCGCTATAGCAGAAAGGGCCCCATCATCAAACCAGCATGGGTCGACCTACGAAGTCCACGAAGAAGGCACTGCCGGTGGCGGAGGTGGCACAGGCACCAATTGGGGAGAATCCAGCTTGGTGGGTGTACATATGTCCGTCGATTACGGGTGTGCAGCGCCAATGCGTCCAAGTGTGCGTTCGTGTGATGGGAGGGGCCATGACAGAGTCGCTCGACGTGGTCCAGGGCAAAGGTGGTCGCCCTGGTACGACGACGGACGTCCAAGGCTACGTTATTTGCCCGCCAAGCCATTATGACTCTTACTTGACGCTTCGGGAGGACAGCTACGTGCCGCTTGTCACGCCGACATGGATTTTCCGGTCCGTGTTGCAGAATTCGCAGGTGTTGCTTCCTACGGACCGGTTTTCGGCCAACCCGACGAAAGTGTTCTCGTCCGTCGTGATGTACTGCGTGCAAGTGGACGTAGACCCGCGCAAAGTCATCGCCGCCCTGATGGTGAACGGCGGCGGGCAGCTCGTGTCGTTACCCACGAATGCTGCGACGCATGTGCTGTGTCTACGCAACAGCGGGAGCGACTACACGCAAGCCGTCGAGTGGCAGCGCCAGACCAAGTCCATGTTGGACGACGTGGCCACGAATGTGGCGCTTGTGCGCGACGGCTGCGACCGGTTCGCCGCCGGCGGCTGCAAGGGGTCGTTGCCTGACATGGTGGTGCAGTACCTTCTAGGGCAATGCGGGTTGCTGTCGCCCCAGATCGTCAGCTACGACTGGGTCCAGGAGTGCGTTCGACAGGGCCGCCGCGTGCCCGAGACGGACTTCAGCTTCCCCGAAAATGCGACGCCGTCGCCTTCGAGTTCCTCCAACGAACCTCCATTGACGCTGCAAGATCTCATCGACACATGCCAGAAACAAACGATTTACCCTCCAGCCCCCGCGTCTGACGACTTGTGGAAGGATCTGTCCCAGGTATATTCACAGTAGTGACCCAGATTCCCTTGTTGTATTCTAAATGCCTATTGAACCTCTTTCTTGTCAGCACGCCCCAAGGTCAGAAGCCATGGTCGGGGAAGTGATTGTGTTTGCCAGGCACATTCCGTCGTCGCTGCAGGTTCGCATGCGGCATGCGCTCGAAGCACTCGGCGCGGCGGTGCTGCCATCCCATGACCTCGTCAAAGCAACGTACGTCGTCTGTGGCTATCAGAGCGGCGCAGAGTACTCGGCCGCGTTGACGCTGCACAAACCAGTGGTGAGCATGCAGTGGGTCGCGGCGTGCATTGCCGCCAAAGCCATCGTGGCCACGTCCCCCCGTACGTCGTCCTTAAAGTGTTTTTTATGGTTTTAAACACCAAAGTAGCCACGTCGCTGGTGCGGCAGACGTTGTACGCGCCATCTCGACGCCATGGAGGCATCCCCGGCATGGACGCGTGTGTGATCACCCTCTCGGGCTTTAGCGCTCGGTCGTCCCCCACGAGGGATGACATCCAAGCGCTGGTCCGGCTCTCAGGCGCGTGCTACTTGTCCGTGTTGTCAAGGTATGTTGGTGTTTTATATTCGTTTGAAATTTGAGAAATAGGAGCCACACGACGCATTTGCTGTGTTTGGAACCCACGGGCGAAAAGTTCAAGCGGTCGATTGCGTGGGGCTTGACCAACGTCGTCAAGTTGGAGGTACGTACGACACGAAAGATAGAGTAGACTACAATATATATATATATATGTATTGTGCATTTCACCCGAATTTGGACTTGTGAGTCAAATAGCATTCGAATCCATGTGATGCAATTTAAGCTTGTACAAACTACACTATACAAAGATTAGTATATATAGGGTTTTCAACGGCTGAGTCAAACGTTTGGATTGGCAGAAATTTAGCAGAATACGATTTGATTGGCTTAGACGGTTCATCTCCAGTTTTGACAATATACGAACGTAAATAGTACATGCCTTGATATATTATATTATTTTATGATACCTATATCAAGCATAACATCGACTTGTGTGTGTGTGCAGTGGCTAGTGCAATCTGTGCAGCAGTGGCAAAAAGGTCCTGAAGCCACGTATTCTTGGCTCCAGCCATCGATTTCAGCTAGTATTACTACCACCCCCGTCGTGACTACTACTGGCACTTCCTCGGTGGACAAGAGGTGTTCCGCAACAACCTCTGGTGCCCCCCCCCCGTCACCCAACTCGAAACCAACCGCAAGAGGAAAGAAAGGACCGAAATTTCAAGTCGACGACGCCCTCGATGCATTGTTAGACGACCCCCAGCGAACGACCCCCCTGAAATCAACATCCCCCCCGTCCAAGCGACCACACGAGGCCACTCCTAGTAATACTAGTGTTACTGCAGTGACGACGCCGATCCAACTCCGCAAGGCGATCGCCACCAACTCGATTGAAAACAACGAAGAAGTCGTTGCTGGGGTCCCTAAAAAGGGTCGCGTGGCGCCTGCCGTGCAGAAAAAGCAACCACTGACTAAAGGAATCAAGCGACCGAGTTCAACGACTAATGACGAGGCCAACGTTGCTCACGACGACACACCACCACCACCCAAAGCCCGTCGACGGACCACCACCACAAAGGTAGGTAGCCACGTTATTGTGCTAGTCTCATGGTATTGGCGTATTTAGTACCCAAAATGTGGCTGACTTTTGGACTGATTTATGCGTCGAGGGTATCGATCGATTCTTTGTATGTAAAAAGTGGCCTGATAGTGATAGTAGGTCGTTCGTAGTCATACAACACTAATTTAGGTATCACACTAAATTCGACGTAGAGGATGGTGTTTCGTGCATCAATCTGATTGGCTCAATTCGTCTGCCGATGATGAGATATGATGCTTCTTCTGGACATGTTTTTGTGTCATTCTCCATGTCGTTCCAGTGTAAAAGAAACAATGTATTAAAATATTTTATTTATTTATAAGAGTATATAATTATTTATATATTTTTTAATCGAATAAATAAAGAAGTTTATAAAGATTTTCATAAATTACGTTTGAATATTATATATTTTATCAAAAAACCATTTTTATTTAAAAATACACACAATACTATCGACATTTGGAGTACTAGTAGTTGCAATCAATCATACTGTATGAAATAAACAAATAAATACCGCATATCATGATGTTGTATATATATATATATATAGAAACAGAAAGCCCACGATGACAATGAATGTGCCGACCAACTTGGCTCGACCAAGACGCCGAAAGCAGCGTCGTCGCAGTATGCGTTCTTGTTGACGGGGTCCCATGAGGACATGGCGATGGACGCGTCGATTGTGATGGCGCTGGGCGGCACCGTGCTGGAAACGAGGCGCGCGTTCGACTTGTCGTGTACGCACGTCATTTGCAAACATCTCAAGCGGACAGAAAAAGTGGTGTGTGGAATGGCCTCGGGCAAGGTACAACCACATTCGTCCATATATATATATATATATATATCCAAAAGAAAATGGATGGCTGGTAGCTAAAGTTGATGAGAGGGTATTATTGTTGATTTGGTACGAATTTCCAAACCCCGTTCAATCGAGTAATCACGCACCAAACAACCGATCCCGCATCGCTCGCTCCCATTGGTCTATATGTCGGAAACAGTCTTCGCTGATTGGCTACATTGTTTTTCCTTGGTGGGGAAAGCCAATGAAATTTCGCCGTGAGATATTTTGGATCGATTCTCGCGCAGAATTGGGATATTTGGTTTAAATGCATATCCTGTAATTTATATATACCTTTATATCTGTATGCTACCGTAGCTCGAGTGATATATATATATTTATATCACAAATCATCCATCACAAAAAAGTATGTTTGTAGTGGATTCTAACCCCCGCCTACTTGAAGCAATGTCTGGCCAAAGGCACGTTTGTGGACGAAGCGCCATTCGAATGGGGCGGCGCCACGTCATCCAAGCGGGGGTCGGGCACGGTGGACCCCCGCATTTGGCCGCCCGTGGCGCAGTACTGGCGGCAGGAAATCGCAACCGGCCGGTCTCATGGCGCGTTCCACGGAAAGAAGTTTGGGCTGTATGGCACGGACTCGATGACGCCGCCGGCAGACATGTGCCGGCGGATCATCCACGCCGCAGGCGGGACTATTCTGGACCGACCATCCGACTATGTACGTGAAGAGAGACGATGGAAGTGCGTGCGGCGATGGAGAGTGTGAGCGTATGATGATGTAGGATCAAGACACGCTGGTCGTGGTGGGGGAAGGCAGCAAGGCCGACCCGACGGTGGGTCAGTGGACAGTCAAGGGCATTCCATGCATTGCGCCTGGGTTTCTCATTGACGTTATCACGAAGAACCAGCTTGAGCCACCGACATGGGAGTCGTATGCTGTCGGAGGAAGAGCTTAATAGTCGCCTTCCTTGGGTAATCCTTCCACGAGGTCGTCGTCGTGGCTGTAGTTCTACTTGTAGTAGTATACCACATATAGTAACAATATTCAATTTATACACACAACGAGTTCATGTTGATAGTACCTGTCGAAACAGCTGGAACCCGCCCGTCAAAACGAGCACCTTGGGCTTGATAGCGGCATGTTCCAAGACAGCGTTCACGCGAGATTGGAACCGATGCGCGCAGAACGGACCGCGGACTTGGCTACAGAGGATGAGGGAGGGGGGGATGAGAACGAGAGACAGGATGAAGGAGCGCGCACCTCATCATGCAATGAAAGATGATCGTCGGCACGGTCTTCATCTCGTCGACAAAGTTATCGACGTCGTCGTCGTCGTGGAAGTGTTCCTCCGGGACGTTGATGGCGCCACGGATATGTCCGCCCGCAAAGTCTCCATCGCGAACATCCACGATGCGCACGGCATTCCTCGCCTCGGGGTTCTTTAAGATCTCGACCAACTCCTTGGCCGTGATCCGGTCGACTTGTTGCGCCATCTCGTTCGTGCCAAATATGTGCATACTGATGGAAGTCATGTAGTGATGAACGAAACCCATTGGTTTAAATTGTATTTCACGGAGTTTGGTGATTGGTCGAACCAAATTGTAATTCCATTTCTTACAGTTACTAGTACTAGTAATATAATACATCGCATTGTCGTACGAATCCATCTATCGTCGTCGCCTTCTCCTTCAACGTCATTCTCGGCGCCACTGCCTGCAGGGCCTTCTTCGTCGCTTTTTGTATGTGCCTCTTCAGCCGCGGCTTCAACTACCGGTACCTCTCCCGGTACTCACTGAATGAGCATGGCGAAATAATGGGCCAAAACCTTTCTGAATTACCATTGGTTAAAATTTCGAGATCAAGTCATTTGATTGGCTATTATGTTGTCCATTCGACTGAATGTTTGCTTAGCCTTAAAAGTTATATGGTATGATGGCCGAGTGGTCTAAGGCGCTGGATTTAGGCTCCAGTCTTCGGGCGTGGGTTCAAATCCCACTCATATCATTCTTTTTTTCCTTTCGTGCCATGCCGCGGAATGGCAACTTCCGCAAGACGTACTACAAGAGCTTGGGGGTGCCGGTGCTGCACTCGGCCGAAGTCGAAGCGTCCTTTGCCGCACTCCTGGGCCAAGACACACCCGCATCAGCCCTGCTGATCAACATCACGCAACTCGTTCGACTCACCCTCGAGTTTGGGTTGCCGCCCAAGTACCGCCGTCATGTGTGGTGGGTCGTCAGCTCCATCGTTCCGTTGGTCCGAGACACCGAAACAGACACATGGGAGCATTCACGAAACGAGAAGCGTGCGATATACAACGACGTGTTGGCGGCCGCCGACGTCTGTCTCATCGACGCCGACCTTGAACCATCCACGCCCTCGAGTCACGTCCTTCGTGTCGTTCGATTCTACGTCGACCACGTTCGCCCTCATCTACGCCACCCTTCGCCGAACGACGACACAAACCAAGGTAGGTTTATATATCCATCACGTTATCAAGTTCACAGGATCATCCATGCATGCTTGTTCTAGCATTTGACTGGGTCTTGGACGAAGCATGGGTGGCCGACAGCGTAGCAAGGGCTGTCGTACTGGTCATGGACGACCCATCGGATCAATTCTGGTGTACTTTGGCCTTCCTAAGCATCCTCGATCGAGGTACTTTTTTATATGCGTGGAATGGCTCAACCAATGATCTGGCGGTAGGGTTTCACACGCTGCAGCAACCCACCAGTGTATCCCTGCAAGACTTGCATCAAGCGTCGCCAGAGACGCTCGAGCTGGTCATTTGTCGCATCGTCGCCACCATTGTCCATTAAGTTATACTCCATCTCGTCGCTAAAACAGGTCGTTATCGTCCTCATCATTCGCTTGCTTTCGCTTGCGCTGGCCTCCGCGCTTGGGTAGTTTGGCTTTCTTCTTGGTCAGCTGTGGGTGTTCCCAATCGAAATCCAATTGCGCCTGGTCCTGGGCCGCGGCCTCGCCGAGGAGCTTGAGTTGTGTCCATCCATTCGACATGCCGGTCCCACCCACCACCGCCATCGTCATGTCGTCCACGTTCATGGGGATCAAAGTCGACTCGTGCGCCGCGCGCGATACGGGCGTTTCATTGGCCTACGTCAACCACCACACATTACGTTCATAAACACGCGTTCGAAACGTTCGATATCGCAAATTCGTGCCTTGGTCGTGTTGGACGTTTGAAACGTTTGGCATGTTTCATTGTCGAGGCCATACGCTGCCTTGAGCGCCATCTTGAGGCGCACGAGCAGTGTCAACGCGAACGCCGTGGGCCCCACGGCCGCCACTTCGGGCTTGATGGGCGCGTCGGGGGGTTCTGGCAAATTGTCCAACGTTGTGTCGTCGCCGAGGTATTTTTTCACCTTGTCTTGCACCGCACTAAACACGATATCGATTGGTTGTAAAGATATATATATATATACAAACACACATACGCACCCCAACCCGAGCGCCACGTCACGGTTGATCGTGTACACCACGTACAACGGCTCGTCCTCGACGTCGTACGGCATCGCAGACAGCACTTGCGCGACATACGTCAAGTACCCCAACGCCACGGCGGGGGTCAGCCGGTTGGCTGCCAGCGCGGTAAACACGGGGCCCCGTTCTCGAAACGCGCCCAGCAAACCATTGAAGAACGCATGGCGCTGGGATCGATTGCCTTGGATGCATGCGCGGTACATGCGGCCCAGATAGCACTATAGTAATATTATAATAATACAAACCCGTGAAAGCATGCGGGAAGGAACAACGACAATATATTGTTTATATTCTAAACTGAAGAGACATGGATAGAATGAATCGACGGCACAACCAAATACATGTACTGTAGAATCAGAAGAATTGAGCCAATATATTGGCAGAAGAATTGAGCCAATTAGATTGCAGGAACCCACCATCAACGTCGAATTAGTGTGTGACTTCCAACTAGTACCTCTGTTTACATGCAAAATTCAGTACAAAGAATCGATCGATAGATTTGGCAATTCAGCACAAAATGTAACCAAATTTTGGGTAAATAGACAATACTATCGCATTCAAGTGCACCGCACTAAACACGATATCGATTGGTTGTAAAGATATATATATATATACAAACACACATACGCACCCCAACCCGAGCGCCACGTCACGGTTGATCGTGTACACCACGTACAACGGCTCGTCCTCGACGTCGTACGGCATCGCAGACAGCACTTGCGCGACATACGTCAAGTACCCCAACGCCACGGCGGGGGTCAGCCGGTTGGCTGCCAGCGCGGTAAACACGGGGCCCCGTTCTCGAAACGCGCCCAGCAAACCATTGAAGAACGCATGGCGCTGGGATCGATTGCCTTGGATGCATGCGCGGTACATGCGGCCCAGATAGCACTATAGTAATATTATAATAATACAAACCCGTGAAAGCATGCGGGAAGGAACAACGACAATATATTGTTTATATTCTAAACTGAAGAGACATGGATAGAATGAATCGACGGCACAACCAAATACATGTACTGTAGAATCAGAAGAATTGAGCCAATATATTGGCAGAAGAATTGAGCCAATTAGATTGCAGGAACCCACCATCAACGTCGAATTAGTGTGTGACTTCCAACTAGTACCTCTGTTTACATGCAAAATTCAGTACAAAGAATCGATCGATAGATTTGGCAATTCAGCACAAAATGTAACCAAATTTTGGGTAAATAGACAATACTATCGCATTCAAGTCAATGAACGGTTGATAAAACATGCCGTGGGTCGAATCATAGATCCAGTAAACCATACAACGATATATATATATATATTTGCGACATTCACGACAAGATAGTACAGTACAAAGCCAATCGTCAAACACAATGCTATAGATAGATAGCCCTGCTAGACTCAATCAAAACAGCAACACAAGAAGCATACACGCACCACGTTGTCAGTGTCGCAGACGATGGCCTTGCCAAACGCTCGGGTTTGAAACTGGTACGAGCTGAAAATGCCCTGGATCGCCGGGCCACTGACCATGTTGGGGAACTTGCCGTGGATCGCGACCAGGTGCAAGTAAGCCGTGTCGCGCACTGACGCCAGCTACGCCCTTGTCACATATATATATATGCGAGAAAGCACGAAGTTCTTACCTGATCGGTTTCCAGGGCCACGAGGGTGGGGATGCACTGCATGGGGGCAATGAGGCCTTGGGTGAGCAGCAGCCCAATGCACGCGATGGCTTGCGTTCGAATCGACGCTTCCTTTTGCGTGGCCACCTTGAGCATGTTGGGCAGTTGCGCCTGCATGACGCCGCCAATCAACGACGCGTCGCCTAGAATGAGCTCACACTGTCACATATATCACAAACACACACGGTATATGTGTACCTTCTTGGTCGCCTTGCACTTGATCTTTTCCCACCTTTGTGCCTTGGGTCGCATGCAGTTTCTCCAACCGCGCTTCTTCGCCTTGCAACAAGTCGGTCAAACTGGCCAGAATTTGCGTGCGCACTTTCGGGTCTGGGTGCAAAATCATCGTCTGGAGCGTGTGGTCTTGCTGCGCCTTGAGCAGCATGCGGGGATTCTTTTGCACTAAGTAGCCCAATCCTTGCACTGTCTTGACGCGCAACGCGTCGTTGAAATGCACGTGGGAGTTGGGTACGTTGCAGTACCGAGCGTACACATCGTACACCATCTCCACCAACTATACAAATATATACATCGTCGTCAATACGTCACACATATATTTTAATGTATATATAATATACCAACAAGCACTTATAGATAGATAGATATATATGTATATACATATATATACCTTGTCTTTGGCAAAGACGTGGCTCGTGATGTGATCGAAATGCGCTTCCCAATCCAAACTGCCCGCCACCAATCCAGCCACAAACAGCGATCGCAGCAGATTTGGCTTGTCCGAGATCGGTTTGTCCAACTTGATCAGCGTTTCCGACTATACAGTTGAACAAAACCAGTTTAATTAGTCATAGCTCTCTTGATTATTCAAACGACGTATATATATATATATATAATTACAAGTGTATATATATATGGAACATAAGTCAGTATCATAGATGGCCGTTTACCTTGACCAGAAACGCGTAGAGCATTTCGAGGATCTTGAGCAACAATTTCGGCGGGCGGTGCAAACCACTCGTTGTCAGCGTCGCGAGGCAGTCGACGGCTGGCTTGACGACTTGGGGCGGGGCGCCCAGGACCAGGGATTTCAGGTCGTTTTCTAGCTGGACCATCCATTTCTCCACTAGTTCGTTGCACGCCAGTCATATTTCGAACGACGATATTGATAGTAGGTACTAGTACTACTAGAACCTAATAGCACGTGAGGTATTTCGTACCTGGTTTCTCGACACTGGGCAACACCAAGCCAATCATAGAGGCGGCCATTGCAAGCACGTGCATTTGCGTGGGTTTAGTCAACCGGTCGTCCTGCTTTAGGTACACCGTCAGCGTATCCAGGTACGGCAGCACCATCCGGGGCGACGCTTGGCAAATGACATGCAGCGTCTTGAGCGTAGCCACTCGCTGGGCCTCGTTGTCTAAGTAAGAATGATCAAATGAACAAACGAACGACAATAGAAACAACTATCCATACTAGTTTGTGGATGAAAACACATTAATATTCGCAAAACCACCAACAGACAAACAATGCGGCGAGAATCATTCGAATCAACTGTCAATCACAACATCGACAGTGATATATATATATATATATACGTTACCGTCAAACGACAAGCGCGGAAGGGTGTGGCCTTCTTCCAATTGCAGCAAAAACTCCATCAGCTCCGAGACCATTGCCGCGCACGCACTTTCTATCTCGACAGCATTCTTCGACATCAACCGGCCAATCAGCGTCACCATCCAGTCGGGATTGTGGACATGGTGCACGACGTCGATCATGGACAGCACTTTGTAGTTGGTCGCGGCAGCCTTTTTCCGAAGACTCGCCGGCGTGACGACCGTGTCTTGGTGGTGCGCGGCATGGCCGCTGCGGCTGCGGTGGCCGGACGAGCCAAACCAGACGTCCTGCAGGATGGCGAGCACGGCGTCCTTGACGCTTTCGTCTTCGCTGGCGACGCCGATCCGTTCGACAAGAGCTCGAAGCGCCTTGGACACGCACTCGGCCTCGTCGTTTGGGTTCATGGGGGTGTGCTGCAAGTACGTTTTGAAGATCTTGAGCACGCTCTTCCGCACGCTGATGCCTTTGTCCCGCAGCCGATCCGCCAACATGCCAAAGTACTTGGGGAACTACGTCCACATATGGTTATTGTTCGTGGGACTGAACTACATATATATATATATATTACCGTCAAACGACAAGCGCGGAAGGGTGTGGCCTTCTTCCAATTGCAGCAAAAACTCCATCAGCTCCGAGACCATTGCCGCGCACGCACTTTCTATCTCGACAGCATTCTTCGACATCAACCGGCCAATCAGCGTCACCATCCAGTCGGGATTGTGGACATGGTGCACGACGTCGATCATGGACAGCACTTTGTAGTTGGTCGCGGCAGCCTTTTTCCGAAGACTCGCCGGCGTGACGACCGTGTCTTGGTGGTGCGCGGCATGGCCGCTGCGGCTGCGGTGGCCGGACGAGCCAAACCAGACGTCCTGCAGGATGGCGAGCACGGCGTCCTTGACGCTTTCGTCTTCGCTGGCGACGCCGATCCGTTCGACAAGAGCTCGAAGCGCCTTGGACACGCACTCGGCCTCGTCGTTTGGGTTCATGGGGGTGTGCTGCAAGTACGTTTTGAAGATCTTGAGCACGCTCTTCCGCACGCTGATGCCTTTGTCCCGCAGCCGATCCGCCAACATGCCAAAGTACTTGGGGAACTACGTCCACATATGGTTATTGTTCGTGGGACTGAACTACATATATATATATATATATATATATATATATCGTCGTTCGTACCAGCATGGACTGCAAGCCAATGTACTTGCCCACCAACTCGACGGCGGACTGGCGCACGGACGTGGCTTCGTCCGACAAACTCAACGTGATCGCTTGATGCAGATGGTCGTCCGCCATCAACAACGGGTCGCAGTCCACAATCATGCCCAGTGCTTTCAACACCCGCGCGCGAAACGTCGGCTGGCCGCGCGTCAAAAACGTCATGATTGCCATCAGCATTTGGTCGAAATGGAGGCACAAGTCGCGGTGGGACACCAATTCCGTCACGAGCACGCGGCCCACGGCGCTCGACAGCGTCACGTTCGCCTTGAGCGCGCGGAACTCGTCGCTGAATGCGCATTGCGCGCGGTGAAACTCCTCTGCATCCACCGACACGTGGGCGCTTTGATCTCCCAGGAACATCAAGACCATGCACTGCGCTACGTTGGCATTGGAGTCGTTCACATCTACATATAAAAAAGAACCCCACTGGCGCTTAAAAACGTTGGATTCTAACAACAATCGGACGGTACGTTTGGACGCGAGGAGCTGGCGCGCGTGGTCGCGGCATTCCACAAGGGCGGGAGGATGCGTCAATGTATCGATCGGGTGCGCCTTGGCTTGGCATGCAATTTGCCGAATGGACGCGCAAATCTTGCCGAGCAGGTGCAATGCCAAGAGCGACGACTGGGACTCGAGCTTGTTTGTCTTTTGCTGCGCCATGAGGTTGGTAAGTCCGCCGCTCAGCGCCTCGAGGATCACATGCACGGCCGGCCACTCGGGCGACGGCAGCATGGCCAGCAAGTCGTCCACAAAGTGCTCAAACGTTTGCCGAAAGTCGTGCGATTCGTCCTTCTTCATGCACTTTTGCACCAACGAGTGCACAATCACACTAGACACGAGTGATGACACGTTCCGAAACTAGATGATGGATAGCATCGGGCATGATGCATGGGTTGTGTACTTACCGGGCAGTGTCGCGCACGGCGTCCATGGACACGCGGACACTGGCCTGCGCCAGCGTCACAAGCATCATCGAGATCATTTGCACATGAACGTCTCCCCCGTGCGACGACAGCTTGAACGTCCGCATGTGGCGCTTGGTCGTGGGCAGTTTGAGCAACACGGCGAAGATATCGTCCATCAAGAGCGGCCGGTGGGTCGGATTATGCAGAAAAAGGCCGCGCACCAACACGCTGGCGCGGACTTGGAGCAGGCAAATGTTGGCTTGGCTCGCTTGGTTGCCCTCGAGTGAAAACGTGTCGACCACGGCCCTCGACAGCGACAAGATCCAGCTGTCCTGGAGCTTTAGACCCGTCACGAGCTCTTCCACAGTCTCCATGAACGCACTCGTGACATGCACCAGTCCGACTTTGTCAATCTTTTTCTTGAGTGCGCCGTGATACTTGGGGTGGACCGTGCTTTTCGCGTCTTGCAATAGCTGGGACAAGACCAGATTGTCCAGCGAAGGGCACAATAGGCGTTGCAGCACCTAATGCATCCATGGTCCGTACTTTTGACGGATATGATGTCGGAGGTACGTACATGTTTGAGCAAATGAACGCAGTGCTCAATATACTCTTCCGACAAGAGACGGCGATCGATGTTGGGCGCCGTCATAATGTACAACATGCAGCTGGCCGCATCCATCGCACACCCCACGTCGTTCAATTTGGTGTAATCGATGCCAGACACTTCCCAGTCTGCGTCGCCGCTGTTGGCATACGCCACAACAAACAAATCAATCGACAAGGCGTCCGTTACCTAGACAAGGGTCACTTTGTAGTCACATTTCGACATTGTCATGGATTATACATGAAATAAACGTTTAGATGAAGAAAGGACATGTTTCCATGAATATCACAGATACGTGTAGATGCAAACGAAGAAAGTCCATGGACGTACTCTGGTGTCCAAGATGGACATGAGGTTCCCAAGCAGGTCGAACGACACGTGCTGGATCAAGTCCTTGTGGGCTTTGTGCAGCAACTGCAGCGACTGCATGATCTTCTTTGTCACGCGGGGCACGTCGGGAGAGGTGGACAATCGACCCACGAGACTGTGCAACTCTTCCTCGTACTTGTGCACAATCGCCTTCTTCTTGGATTCTTGCGTGTCGCCTGGAACTGGTGTGCTCGGCCCTTCCTCCTCGTCGTCGTCGTCATCGGCGATCTGGATGACTTTCACACGCGACAAGCGAGGGTTCTTCGGATCGCTCGTGTTCGACGATTCATGACGACGTTTACGTTCGGGGGTGGTCACATCGTGAACGTTGTCGGGCGTCTTGTGTTGCTTTGATGGAGGGTGGGGCCGATTCACATTTGGTGATAACACGGGAACGTCTGTCACGACAGTTCGAAGGAGCGGGGACAGGGTGTCCCATTGCACGACCGGGGGATTATGATCAGGTCTAGTATACACCATGAGGAGGAGCACGTCAAGTGTTCATGTGAAGCTTCATACGTACAGAAGCGACGCAGGAACGTTACGCAAGAGGTTGTTCACGCTCGCCATGTTCAGTCGAGACGCATCAATAGGCGGCAAGTTGGAGTAAGCGATTGGTGGGCGTGGTAGCGTCCATATCGACGTGTTCTCGTCGGCTCCATCAGCCCCACCGTCGATGGGGACATACAGCGGCAGTCCATGACTCATGTGCGCGCAACTGCTGCTGCAAATTTGAATTGTGACCTCGAACATTTCCAACTGGGCGCACATGATTGGTCGATTAAATAACTTATTTCAGCCAATCATATATTGTTTTATTTCTTCCGGATATCCTCGACAGGATTTTTGCTTGAAGTGATCATCCATCACCTGGCAGACGAGAAATGCTCAACGAAGCGACATGCCTTGTGGGGGTCAGCTCAACCCTTGTCGTGCAGCATGATCTGGTCAACTACCGCTGGCTCTTCTACTCCCCCGAGACGTCCATGTCGGTGGTCATCGCTCGAGCTCCGCTTCTGCAACAAGGAGGAGCTACAGCTCGCCCACAGAGGTACTCGCAAGTCCAGATCCTGTATCTCCCGTCCACACCCCAAAGCATTGCATTGCATCGACCGACGTGTCGTCTTGCCGTCGCATGCGTGGATGGGACGGCATTATTATTCAATCCCGGCCAGCCATCTCCGTCATCTTCGTCCCCTGTCCGAAATCTCGTGTGCGATGATTCGTCGTTGATATGGCACACGCAAGCCACGTGGCGGTAATGCTTCCCCTTTCAATCCATCATCATGTGTGTATGGCAGATGTGAACCGGGAATGACCACGCCTCTCAAATGGTGCGAGTCCAACGAAGACGTATGGCTCGTCGGCGCCGGCACCAAAGTGTCCATGTGGAAAGTTGTCGACGACGCCGTGTCTGTGTACTCGAACCGGTCGTTCGCCCTAGGTCATGCCACATCATCACGAGCCGTGCTCTTCGATGCATGTTCCACAGGTCGATACGTCGCCACGACCACCCATCCCCATGCTCGTCTCATAAAGGTACACCACCAATCTCCGCATGCTATGCATACGTCCACTACCTACCCACATGTACTCACTTCCACGTATCGCGAAAGGTTTGGTCGTTGAACACGTGGACTATGGAAATGACAGCGCCGTTTTGTGCCTTCCTCGGCCACCTACGAGCCATCCACTCCATCGGTACTCGTCCAAGCCCCTTCCTCATCCGCATTCCCATGCTGCGTAGAATGGCTGCGTCCAGAAGCGGAGAGTGTGCTGGACAATGCGACGCTCATGACGTTGGACGTCGGCGGGAGCCTGACGGTGTGGCGGGAAGATTCGAACGCGAGCACATTTGGGTTTCTGCGTGTATGGGTCTTGGACGAATCTTGCATTCGCATGTGTGGCTCAATCGATCGGCGCAAATCCCGTTTCAAGACGTTGCTGTGGGAGTTGCCCAGCAACGACCCTGCCAAGCCGTTGAAAGTGTGGCACACGGCCATACCGGACAAAACCCATCACTTGTACACACACACGATGGACAGAATGCACATGAAGGCCTCGAAAAGCGTCGGCTTTTCCTCCCGCGCCGGGGCCACCGCTGACACCCACGACGGTATGTATATAACAATCATACATGTTATAACATGCTATAATTTGTTATAATATTTGTTAATTGTTCTGCGTACCAGGCGAAAAGTTCATTCAAGGCAACTTGGCCTTGTCCAAGTGCTCGATCACGTACTTGTTGTATACAATCCACGACAACGGAGATCTCGGCATTTGGCGACTGGACTGCACCATGTTCTTGGTACGCCATATATGCGTTTTCTTTCGACCGACCGAGCGTTCTTCTGCGACGACGTTTCCCGTTATGTTATATTTCGCCAATCTGTTTTATATACTAGTATATATATATATATATATATATATATATATATATATATATATATATTCTATCGACGATGATATGATGATGGGTAGACATCGACACCGCGCGTGACGCAGCTGTGTACCACATCCGACCTTGATCTCGTCCATGCCAAGCCGATGCATGCGTCCGTGGTCGATGTCTTTGCGCGTACGTACTACATTCACTATGGGATATGAAAATGAATGTGTGTGACACTGTATGTTATACATTCACTCTAAGAATGAATGTATGTGTGACTTGTTTGTTATGGGGATATGTGGTAGCGCCGCCACACAACCTGCCGCCGCTGGACATTTCGTTTACGCTGCTGCAGTGTCCCTCCCATGACCTCCACGCAGTGTCACTGCATGTGGCGCCGCTTCCTCCATCTCCTTCTTCCACCAACCCAGTCGAATACTCTGTCACAAACAAGCTCGTCCTGTCCACGGGGTCGACTCTGCATGGCATCCACAGCGTCGTGTCGGGCACTCCAGACTCGTCCATGCTGGTCGTTCGAGATCGCGCCGGCCACGCCGTCGTGGTAGAATGCGACGCTGTATCCCATCCATCGATCGTTCTTTCAAACGTCCTGGCCGTAACAGTATCGCAGGAGGCGTCGGTAGTGTTTTACCTTCGTTCCAGTACGCCATCATCGGCCCTTGCATTAAGTTGTGTTGGCTTCAAGCATCAGGACGATCATGTTGGCGATCCTCCTCCTTGCCATACCTTGTGGGAGGACCTGCTAGAGATGGCGTTGCCTGAACACGAGCCTTCCGATGGGGAAGGCGGCTGGGCGTTGAGTTGTGCAAAAGAAGACGACGTGGTGGATTCTGCGACAACGTCAGCGTCGCATGTGTTTCGACTGGTGGCCGTGTCGCCGCACGGCGGGGTCTGGCTGTGGCGCGTACAAGCCGAGTCGGCTGGTCGGGGTCCGCGGGTGCTAGGAACCGCGTCCGTGCCGCCCCCGACGGCGCTGCCTCGTCAGTCCATCCTCCTCGCCTCGTTCATGCCATCGTCCTCGTCGCTGTTTGTGACGGTGGGAAGGCTAGACCCGTCGTCTTCGGTGCAGTTCTGGCACATCACAACATCCGACGGTGACCGTCTTGACTGGAGAAGCAGCAGCAGCCGGGCTCCGATGCTCGTGCCGTCCACCGCCGTCGTCCGCCGCGTCGAGTTGCATCGATCGGGGTTTCTCGCGCTCTTGTCATCATTGGATGAGCATGCCGCCCCCAAGAAGGAGGCGTGGATGAGTGTCCAGCACATGTGGGATCCGCGGGCCGTATCCCACTGGGCTGTGGACGCTGACATGCAGTGTATGACGTGGCAACACGACGGGTCGCAGCTCGTGGCGATCTCTCCCACGGCCGTGTATGGCTTCAACGCAGCTCACGGCACGTTGTTGTTTTCACACTCGTGGCTTTCCCCAGGGGTCAGGGGGGGTGGAGCCCCCCCCCCCACGTCTATTTGCATGTCCGTCGATCCTTCCATCATGTACGTGGCCCACGGCGCGTTCTTGTCGCAAGTGCATGCTGCCCCCCCTCCCCCCGCTTCTTCGTTTTCCTCCCCCCCATCCCCCTTCTCTGTACAAAGCTATCAGCATCCTGTGTGGACTCCATGGAATCTGCTGCATTTACTCTTGGACGGCCGCGTCAAAGCGACGAGGCGCGTCCTACAAGCACTTGTGGACGCGATTTCCATCAACGAAGCCCAAACATTTGTGGACATGGCAACGTCCACACTTGTGCTGCCGTGGTTACCGTGGTCCCATGTCATGTACCCCCGAGAAGTCGACGGTGACGACCGAGTGACGTTTGTGGCCAAGAAACCACAACGCAGCCAGTGCACGGCCGCCAACTTGTTTGCGCCGGCGACTCGTCTTGATCGTCGCAATAGTACGCCCAACCAAACCCTTGAAGACGTAGTGGACGTCGGGGCGTTTTTTAACGTTCCGAACAACCACGCGCGGCTGTCGTTTCTGCTGGAAAGAGACCGCTCGGCGTTTCAAACGATCTGCAGCGTCGTAGCAGCATGCGAACAACACGCGACGGACATGCCTGGGCTGCGATTCTTGATCCTGGCGGCGGTAGCGGAGGGGGGGGATGGACGAGGCATGATGTGCGCCGAGGCCGTCATATGGGCCCGCCTCACGTCCATGGACCTATTCGCGCTGCCGATGTTTCAACATGGAGGCGACAATTCGATGGACTGGCATCGCATGCAAAAGCTACGTGTACCGTTTTGGCTCGACGATATAGCCCGACTCAAGCAAACCACTGAGCGTATGGCTAACCGCGCATATGCTGGTATGGATCGATTTATATATATATATATATAAGTGAGATGTGTATAAGTCTGTGCATCATAACGATAACAACACTGTGTAGCAACCAAAGACCCGTTTGCAGTGGCACTGTACTTTGTCTTGTTGGCCAAGACAAGGTTGCTCTCGAACGTGTTTCGCCTGGCACATGAGACGAAAATTGCAGACCTCTTGGCCAACGACTTTGACGACGACCGGTGGAAGGCGGCAGCGATTAAGAACGCGTTTGTGCTTAAATCCAAGCAACGGTAGGTTGGATTTATCATCTAGACTTATGATGTCCTCCGTTGTGTGTAGGTACCTCCTGGCTGCCGCGTTCTTTTTGCTCGCCAACAAGGTGTACGAAGCCGCGTCCATCGCCGAGCTGGCCGACCCGAGCTTCGCGCTGTCGTTTCTAATCCTCCGATTGTCAGAGCCGACCTCGTTGACCGACTTGGGCCCTGTGACCATCCAGTTTGTCCGAACAGTGCTGCTGGACAAGGCGGAAGTAGCCAACGACGTGTACATGCAGTGTCTGTGCCGGCTCTACTTGGACAACCGCCTCGTGTTGGAGCCGTTCTTAGCGCCGCCACCGCCCGTCGCTACGATGACGTCTGCTTCCATGATGTCGAATACGTACTGGCAGCACGAGTCGCTGGCTGGAGCGTGTCGGTTGGTCCAGCATGGAGCGGCAGGTATCGACAACGAAGCTGACGAGGCAAGAGTCGTGGCTTTGCACTGCATGGTACGCAAAATATATGCGTTTATATATATATATGCGTTTATATATATATATTTACTTTGGAAGTATCTCTTATACTTTGCTTGTTGCAATTGCCAAGATTACATGTCTACATTGGCTCGTACGGACGGACGGGGGCCATGTATAAATATATATATATATATATATCAAGGCATTCCTACTACTACTAGAGTCCAACATTTGTAGAACTATTATGTATTAATATTGTGTTTCTTTTTATTTGTTCCGTGTTTTGTTTTGTTTCACCATGGACTACTACTAGTACTACTATTACTACTACTACTACTAGCAACCAAAGACCCGTTTGCAGTGGCACTGTACTTTGTCTTGTTGGGCAAGACAAGGTTGCTCTCGAACGTGTTTCGCCTGGCACATGAGACGAAAATTGCAGACCTCTTGGCCAACGACTTTGACGACGACCGGTGGAAGGCGGCAGCGATTAAGAACGCGTTTGTGCTTAAATCCAAGCAACGGTAGGTTGGATTTATCATCTAGACTTATGATGTCCTCCGTTGTGTGTAGGTACCTCCTGGCTGCCGCGTTCTTTTTGCTCGCCAACAAGGTGTACGAAGCCGCGTCCATCGCCGAGCTGGCCGACCCGAGCTTCGCGCTGTCGTTTCTAATCCTCCGATTGTCAGAGCCGACCTCGTTGACCGACTTGGGCCCTGTGACCATCCAGTTTGTCCGAACAGTGCTGCTGGACAAGGCGGAAGTAGCCAACGACGTGTACATGCAGTGTCTGTGCCGGCTCTACTTGGACAACCGCCTCGTGTTGGAGCCGTTCTTAGCGCCGCCACCGCCCGTCGCTACGATGACGTCTGCTTCCATGATGTCGAATACGTACTGGCAGCACGAGTCGCTGGCTGGAGCGTGTCGGTTGGTCCAGCATGGAGCGGCAGGTATCGACAACGAAGCTGACGAGGCAAGAGTCGTGGCTTTGCACTGCATGGTACGCAAAATATATGCGTTTATATATATATATGCGTTTATATATATATATTTACTTTGGAAGTATCTCTTATACTTTGCTTGTTGCAATTGCCAAGATTACATGTCTACATTGGCTCGTACGGACGGACGGGGGCCATGTATAAATATATATATATATATATATCAAGGCATTCCTACTACTACTAGAGTCCAACATTTGTAGAACTATTATGTATTAATATTGTGTTTCTTTTTATTTGTTCCGTGTTTTGTTTTGTTTCACCATGGACTACTACTAGTACCACTATTAGTACTAGTACTACAAACTCCACAAGGACATATTATATTCCATCTTGGTGAATAATATATATATATATATATTCTGTAGGCGGCCACTAGATTGCATGCCCAGGGCTATGGTTTTCTCGGGCATCGATTGCTTTCCGACCTCAGTATCGTGTTCCCATCGGTGACATCCTTGGATGTATTTCCATGGGTGGCGAATCTCCGCCATGAGCTGGCTCGGCTGTGTGTGTCTGACCAGCTGCAGACCGTGTGCTCAACCTTATCACTTGCGATCGACACGTCTATTGCCTCTGGGTCATTTGACTGGGATTGGCAAACGAGGATGGTTGAAGCGTCCAGCTTCTTCAGTCCGGACGTACCGCCCCCCGCCGTCGTCCAGCTGTGCCGCCGCCACTCCTCCGTGGCGTGGATGATCGCATCCCATCATCATCTGCAGACGGCGTCGGCGCCAATCGCCGCTCAAGTCGGCGTCATCATCCGCGCCATGCAGGCGTCCCCCGGGACCTCGTCGGTGGTTCGTCCAGTTGGGCATGCCACGCAGTCTCTGATCGAGTATTTGCACGTGATGCAAACACACGAATCGCCCGACGTCGTCCGCCTCGCGACTGGCGCCATCTACACGGGGATGTTTGCCTTGTTTGTGGCCGTAGCATGGCACCGCCGCCTCCCTCGTTGCTGTGTCGTGCGCTTCGTATCGCTGTTGTGTCCGCAAAAAGAAATACTCGTCAGTCCACAACATGATGACATGTGTCTAGTGTGCATCGAGTTTACAAATCCCCGCCGCCGCCGCCGCCAGCTACTGCCGTCCCTGCGCCAGGACCTGCCCGCATTGCATGACATGGTGCGCCAGCTACGCACGTTGAACCCACCACCATTATCCTCGTCCTTACCATCGTCGTCTGCGACCGACGGCGGCTGTTGGTGCTGGACGGCCCTGGTTGCGCTGCTGCACGAGACCATGGCGGCGCATGTGCTGCGGTTGACCGACCAGCTCGACAATGCCCAGTCGTTGCAACACACGTGGCAAGCCTATACCACGCCTCGAATCGTTCGGCAGTTGAGGGCGTGTCGGAAACAAGCGGCCACGCCAAGCTCGGACCATGGCGACGACGACGACGGGTGTGTGTGGCAGGACCTGATCCAGCTGGTCGTCCCCAACACGACGGCCGTCCCGCGAGTCGGGATCGTCGCGAGTGAATACGATGATGGTGGTGTTCGTGGTGGGGGGGGGGTTGCAGAGGTGATTTACAGCTCGGACGTACCTGGGGAATCCATTCGAAGCATGTGCTGCAACACACAGCAACGGAGCACAGTAGTGCTTTGCAACGGTCGGATGCTGTACCGAGCGTTGGCCAAGAAGCCACCGAAAACGTCTAATATCACGTCATCTTGTCAGGTATGATCCAGTATGATGACCATGATGATCATGACGAGTCTGCTGCTGCTATAGCTGCACGTGAATGCCAAGTATACGCCCCCAGCCGTGTTCTTTGCCGGAGGACACCACCACGATGGACATGTACTACTACTCCTATTACTATTACTACTACTAACTATTACTACTATTACTATTACTACTATTACTATTACTACTACTACTACTCTATTACTATTACTACTACTCGATTACTATTACTACTACTATTACTATTACTACTACTACTATTACTACTACTACTACTACTACTATTACTACTACTACTATTACTATTACTACTATTACTATTACTACTCTATATACTACTATTACTACTATTACTTTTATTATTACTATTACTACTACTACGTACTACTACTACTTACTAGTATTACTACGACACCGTTGCTACTGCTGTCATGCAATGAAAGATTTGTTTGGTGGATGTGTAGGTCAAAGTGCCGTCCATGTTGCTATCCCCCCAACCAGACAGCAAAGGAAGTAGTAGTAGTAGTAATAGTAGCTACAAACCCGTTGCTGTCCAGTCGCACCCTTCGATGCCCGTCTTTTGCAGCGGCACGGCCACGGGGTCGGTGGAAGTGTGGCGGTTCGACCAGATCTCGACATGCAACCTATTCGAGCACCAAGTGTCGACTGCGGTATGATGTGTAGATGCATATGATTCACGTAATGACATATGTATTCATGTAGACGAACGCACTCACGTTGGCACCTCGACGGGACATCCACCGCCTTCGCTTTGCCCAATCCGGCTACACGGTACCCCCCCCACCCCCCATGATCCATGATCACCACCACCAACCAACGGATGATATGAATGCATGATAGCTCGGCGCGTGCGATGCATTGGGGTTTGTGTACTTGTGGAACTTTGCGAGCGAAGGGTCGTCGGCGTGTTATGCCCATCTCCAGGTATATACATGTACATATATATATATATATACTGTATCGGATCTCGTTTCTGCGACGATGTATATATATATATATATATATATATATGTACCAATGCGAGCATTTTGTCACACAGTGTCACAACCGAGGCACGCGGGACTTTGCGTTTTTGAACGCGTCGAGTTGCGTCGCGTCCGTCGGCGCCTCCACCAAGTGAGTAGTACCGCCAAACAATATGTGTGAAAAAAGATTTTTTTTAGGAAAAAAAACTTGTGCCTGTGGGATACGTTGTTGCCGCCGCACAAAGCGCTCATCTGTGCGCCGCTGTGCCATCCCGTGGGCGCGGCGTCCGTGGTCTTCTCGTCCAGGCATCAGGTAATTAACGTGGGAGCTACGATGAGAATGGTATGAGGATGGACTACTACTAGCTCGTCATTTCCGGCGGCGAGAGCGGCTCCCTGAGCATCTTTGACGTTCGCCAGCAACGCGTGCTGTATGCCGTGTCGACCGCCCACGACAGCTGCGTCACGACGTTGGCGCTGCACCCGCAAGGCCACTGCGTCCTCTCTGGGTCGGCCACGGGGGACGTCAAGGCAAGCAACTTGCTCGCGAATCCTTCATTATCGTCGTATCCCATGGAAAATGTATCGTAGATATGGTCGTTGCCGCTGTTCCGAGAACTGTGCAGCTGGGGAAACAGTGCTGGCATGACCACCAAGGCACGCCATCAGTCGGCGAGCTTCCTCATGGACGCATCGTCCACGTTTGCCGCGGCCACGGTAACGCGTCTCCTTGTGTTGGTCCCATACACGCCCGGGAAATGATGATGGACAACATGTAGGCCGTGACCGGGATCACGGATGCGTTTGCAACAGAAGACTTCTTTTACGCGAGTGGATCGGATGGCGTGATTCAAAGATACCAAACTCCTATCGTTACGGCCCTGTAATATGTAATCAAGCGCCGTCGCGTAAACAAGTTCTTCCGCGGCGACGGTATAGCCGACGCATGGAATCGATTATTGCGCTCCTTGTACATAAAAGTCTAACGCCAAGTTCACTAGGTGCTCTGTACGCTTAGAAGTTTAATGAGACCATGCTGCACTGACGCCGTGTTACTGTTTTGTAAGGAATGTGATGGCGAAATTGGAAATATAAGATGCCGATGAGAAATTTCTCAGTGCCGTGGGTGGTGTTAAAAAACACCAGGTTGTATACGAGGCGACAGGGAGACGTCACCTCAATGAAGCGGAACACGTTCCAATGTCAAGCAATTTAAGCCGACGACGTGAACTTGGTCACGGCCTTCGTGCCTTCCGACACGGCGTGCTTGGCCAATTCACCGGGAAGCATGAGGCGCACGGCGGTTTGGATTTCGCGGGACGACAAGGTCGACTTCTTGTTGTAGCGGCTCAATTTGCCGGCTTCCGACGCAATGCGCTCGAAGATATCGTTGATGAACGAGTTCATGATGGACATGCCGCGCTTGGAGATACCGGTTTCAGGGTGCACTTGCTTCAACACCTTGTAGATGTAGGTGGAGTACGACTCAATGCGCTTGGTCTTGCGGGACTTGCCCTTCTCGCCGGCTTTCTTGGGGGCCTTGGCCGACTTCTTGCTGGGGGTCTTCGCCATGATGGATTGCGCTTTTGAACGGAAATTCAGAAATGAACTCTACCACCGAGGCCGCGAAAGGATATCCGGTATTCCGGATAATTTCAATTCTCCCTCCAATTTGAATGCGTTTTTGGAGGGCGGTTTGCCGGGCTCGAAATCTGGGCATTTGATTGGCTCGATCCAATTTGAGATCGGTGATTGGCGGGATTTTTCAACCAGCTAAACTAGAGCATCCACACCTCATTGATCAAATTCACACGTCAAGTACACTCAAGAACATGTCTGGTAAAGGAAAAGCAACCGGCGGCCGCGGCAAGAAAGGCAAGTCCTCGTCCCGTTCGTCCAAGGCCGGCCTCCAATTCCCCGTCGGTCGTGTCGCCCGTTTCTTGAAGAAGGGCCGCTTCGCCCAACGCATCGGTGGCGGTGCCCCCGTGTACCTCGCCGCCGTGTTGGAATACCTGTGCGCTGAAATCTTGGAACTTGCCGGCAACGCCGCGCGCGACAACAAGAAGTCCCGCATCATCCCCCGCCACATCCAATTGGCGGTCCGCAACGACGAAGAATTGAACAAGTTGTTGGGCGATGTGACCATCGCGTCCGGCGGTGTGTTGCCCAACATCCACAACATTTTGTTGCCCAAGAAGTCTGCCACCGCTGGTGTCGTGACCAAGGACGGCAAGAAGAGCAAGAGCTCTGCCTCGCAAGACTATTAAATTGTCCGCGGTGGCACCGTCCCCCTCCCCTCTATGCAAAGCATGACGTGAGTCACGCGATGTATTCATACCTGGCTTTTTTAAAAGCCACCCCTCTCTCGAGAAATCCTTCGTGCTGTCGAATCCTCATATCTAATTATCCTTGACGTCTTGTACTAGTCGCTGTATCCAATAGGATCACCTCCTGGAGTGCTCCACCCCGCAGGAGACGCGTGTGCGTACATCACCACATGGCTCTTGATCCAATGATCTTTTTGCTTTGGAGTAGTCATAATGTAAGCGTAACATCGTTCGCAGTCGCATCGGGGTGACAGTGTAGTGGGAGGAGGTTTCATGGCCCGGTTCCTCTGCATTGACGAGAATGCGGAGCTGTTCCATGTCGGCAAGCATTTCAATGACACACGCAATGATCGGTCTCGATGTGCCTCGGATCTATCATCGCACATGCATGCATGCATGGCCGACCGCCTATCGTTTGTACGTTTACCTACTATTACTGAAACGCCGATCACTTCATCGTCGGCCAACATGTCACGATGTTTGTGCAGCATGGTATGACACTCCATGAAGCAATATGGCTATGTTCCCTACTAGAACACCGCCAGGAACCTTCTTCATGCGGCAGCATGGAGTGCTTGGTGGCAGAATTCGTCGTTGTTGGGACGTAAACTAAAATCCAGAGTGAATGCGGTTGACGAGTTTTTTCGACCTTTTCGCTGAATGATGTTGGTTTTGCAAGTCATCTAGGGCATTTGGCATTTAGCGTAGAGGCAGCGAGAGGAGACGACGATATGGCGCTGTATGTGTGGGGAAAGAACTGCGCGTTGGACCTAGCGGCCACGGAGCGTGAGAAGACCGTCGTGTACCCGGTACATCCTCATTCATGCGCAGCCGCATGTGATAAGGACGAGCGTAGACACTGATGGAGCATTTTGGCAGTGACGTCGTGACAGACTACGCCGCAGGCGACAACCACGCGTTGGCCGTGACGGAGTTCGGTGATGTCTATTCCTGGTATATCGTCTAATGAATGCAAGAGAGCATGCAAGTCACGTTCCACGCCGTAGGGGTCGCGGAAAGGACGGCGAGCTCGGCCATGGCGAGCCGCGAGAAGACCTCCCGATCCCTGTCAAGGTCAAGGGGTTGCAAGAGCATATCGTTGTCAATGTCGCATGTGGCAACATCCACTCGATGGTATGCATCTTTGCGCATCTCCTTTTGATACCTTCTGTAGGCCACGACGATCACAGGTCACGTGTACATGTGGGGTCTGTTACACGACGAAGTGCTTGCAAACAACCATGGCACGCCCGACGATGTTTCGTCTTCCGGCATGCTGGTCGGGATGGCCGAAGTCCGCGCCTCCACCCAGAACGACCCGATCTTGGCGCGTGTCGTGCGGGACGCCGAGGCCGCATATAGGGAAGGCACGAACGAAGTGAGCGACTTTGAGCAAGGCGTGGATAAGATGACTGTGGTACGTCGACACTCCAATTAGTCGGTCGTTCAATATAGAGACATGTTTACGGGTCTACCTATTTACATGCTTTTCTTTGCATTTTCGCGTCGGAGTAGCATCGCCATCGGCAGTCCGTCCCGCGACTAGCAACATCTCTAACTGGCCATTTCATCACCAAAGTCGCAGCCGGCGCCGGACACAACCTGGCGCTGAGTGCCAACGGCGACGTGTTTAGCTGCGGGTACAACGAGCACGGCCAGGTAGAAATACGATATATAATGCAATTGGGTACAAATATATATATATACCTATTGCATTGTGATATATCTATTACATTGTGATTGAGGAAGGGTAACCCTAGCTCGGGCTCGGCCATGCCAACACCATGCCAAACTTCCAACAGGTATACAAAGTTACTCAATGCCGTGGATATACTAATAGTGGAGTACTACTACTACTTTCTCAGACGGATGGAGTAGATCCTCGGGCTGCAAGGTTTGTTTGTGCATCACATCGTGTGTGGCCACCAGCACAACCTGGCGCAAGTTGAGCTGGACGGCGTCTCGCGCTGCTTTACATGGGGCCTGGGGTATATACGTCCATCTTTCTAGGGAGATACAAGGAAGGTCACGATGAGGCTTTGATTGTAGAGCCCTCGGACAGCTCGGCCACGGCACTCGCCGGTCGTTTGCGGTACTTCGTTTATCCACCTTGTCTTTTTTTACCCAAAAGTTTGTGCGGATTTTTTGCCAAATCGATCGATCGATACGCATCGTCTTGACTTTTGTATGGAAAGATTGTCCAATCTCACACTAATTTCAGTCACACACTAATTCGATGTTGTATTGGTTGAGGAGTGGATTTGATTGGCTACTTGATTCGTGATGATCTGGGTGTTTTGATTGGTCGTATATCGATTGTCTGCCGATTGGGTTATTCTGGTCATTCGATTGAGCACCACCCTACTCGAATTTCGAATCAACAGTGCAAACAAGGGTATTTGTTATATATATTTATACTATTACGTTTCGTATCATAATGTGTGATTCCGACGCCGCCGGTACCAAACTATGCCACGTGCTAAGCAATCACTCATGATCTAGTCGCCGAAACTAGTGGAAGGCATCGCTGGCGCGATTGTCAGCGTTGGAGCGGTAGATTTCAACACGTTACTGCGATGCCAATATGTGACACCGTGTAGGGAAGCCATCATAGTGTCGCTGTGGACGAAGATGGAGCAGTGTTTACGTGGGGCCACAGCGAATACGGCCAGGTACTCATTTGTTCCATCGATGTTGTAGAATAGTAGGGAATGAATATTTATATATATTATTTATTTATCGAATATATAAAGGAGAGAATGATAGCACGGTGTGGCCACGGCCGGCCACGACTTGTACGACGCCCGCGAGTACTTTGTCCCTAGACGACAAATGACATTGGCCAACACCGTTCCTATTGCGTCCGTGTGTTGTGGTAAATATATATATATATAAATATTTGCAAGATGAAAAAATAATCCTAAATATTTATATATTTATATATATGGAATGCTTCAGGCTCGCATTTCACCCTGGCCACGGGCCGCGATGGCAAATTGTACTCTTGGGGGTGGAACACGTACGTCGACACTATTATCGTTTTGTATGACGCTCATTTGATGGATTGCAATCGTATGAAGTCATGTTTATGCAATATATGCTACTATTGACGTATAAAAGTAATAATATATAAATCACGAAACTATTTGTAGCTTTGGGGTACTGGGGCTCGGTCACTTTATGACCACGACGACCCCGCAAAGTTTGGACAAGTTGAACGGATACATGGTCACCCGTGCAGTGGTATATATTGTCTATAATATAAAATATATCCAAAAATATATTATTTTGATAGGCTGGATGCAACCAATCGGGTGCGATCGTCGACTGCATAGGCGCGCCCCATGCGATGCGTTTTCGTCATTTGGTCGCACCAGACGCTGGTCATAATGACCACGTCGATGTATTGGAAAAAGTATATTCTTCATAGATATATATATATATATATATTATATATAGAACACTAAACGGATATTGTGTCGATCGATGTAGCGGTTTGACCTGGCATTGACTCTGGCTACCAATACCAAGGTAATGCCATATACTATTATTTACTATCTCAACGGCACATGTTTTCGAAAATATATATGTGGATATATATATATATATATTTTTTCGAAAATCCACCAAATTCGTATGTATCTAGGTGACATTTCCGACGCACTGGCTCTTCCTGAAAGCAAGATGTCCGTACTTGTTTGGGTATTGCCGAGCTTCGGCGGCCGGTTCTGCTCATGCCCACGACCTGCCGCTGGTGACGCTGGAGTTCCCAGACTTGCCCATGCTTGACAGTCCCGTACGTGTGTCGAAATGAATTAATATATTTTGGCTGTCGAGCTTACATAAATATTATTATAGATATTAAAAGCGATTTTGGTGTACTTGTACACCGATCGGTTGGAGCTGGCACTGCACAAGTTGACCGCGCTCAAGTCGGTCGCTCAAGCGTTTGATCTGGTAAAAGTGTCAAAAGCGTGTGTCAAACTGACATTATTTTTTCATGGCAAAATGATATTTTATTCTAAATAGTGACATTTTGACTACGATAGTCCATTTCTATTATTACTTGGATGGTTTTAATTTCTATTTCAAAGTATTCACATTGTTAATATACACTTATTTCCGCCGTGTTTTGATGTTGAAGTGTACTACTACTAGCCATTCTTGGCGGCGCAATGCGATATGCGCACGGGACGCCACTGCGGCCGCCTGGTCACGTCCACTTTTGCCCAAGACATGGCGTCCGTGGCGCTGACGGCGGAGTTTGCAGACACGTGGTTCGACTGGCCTGTCGACGACGACGGACTCGTGGTCAAGATCCCTGCGCACCGCGTGGTGCTGTGCGAGGCACCCTACTTTGCGTCCATGTTGTCGGGGCGGTTCCGAGAAGCGTCTCGGGATGATGCCTCGTTGAGTATGGCTGGGATGGCGGCGGACGGTATGGACGTCTACGTGTTCCAGGCGGCGCTACAGTGGATGTACACGGGGTCCCGCGTTGAATTGGACGCCATGGCGTTCGATCAAGGTACGGAAGGAACTAGGAAGGGAGGATGGCTGATGGGTTTGTGTGGAATAGTCGTGGAACTGCTGGTGATGGCCAACATGCTCGGGTTGGACGGACTCGTAAGCGTGTGCACGTCCATCCTTTCCAAGCTCGTTGCGACCTCCAAGTCCTCCGACGTCTCAAGCGTGTGCTTTGAGGTGGCCGAGAGGTACGTCATGAGAAGATGATCGTCACCTCATCCTCGGCGATCTACCGTAGCCTCAACATGCAGCGCTTGAAGACACAGTGCGAAGTCATGCTCCGCGCAGTAAACACTACAGCCTAGAGTGTCCAGTTGATGTCAGCTTTGGATGGAAATCAAAATAAGGAAAAAAAGGCCAATTCTTCTTCGCATTTTGTCAAAATGTTGAAATATTTCCTCAATTCGCAAAAAGATCGATGATAACATTCCAATTATTTACGGATAACATACCGGAATGTGATTGCTCATGTTGAACAAGCATGGAAGGGAAGGGTTCGACCATTGCGGCCTACATTCGTCGGTTCCGCGGCCCTCCGACGTCCCGAGAAGAGAGATCCCGCAAAGATAGGGCCCAAGACTTTTGGTGGGTGGACAAGACAACGTCCCCAGATACATCCCGTGGGTCTGTACAGGAACAACTTGCAGACTTGAACGACGACAACGGCAATGCGGAAACCAACGACAATGACGGCGGCGATGCTAGCGCTAGCGTTGCCTCCTATGAAGAAGTCAGCGGGAATCATGCTGCGTCAGACAAAGCTATGTCCATGGATGAGCTTTCAGCAACGATAGAACCAATCACATCAAATGCACGACCGTCGCCACCACCGTCGCCGCCGCCACCGCCGCCTCCACCATCCACGCCGTTGCCGTTCGACAATTCCTTCGCAGGCCAAAGCAGCGACTCCTTTGTTCAACCGTCCAGGCCCCTTGCCATGGACAACGACCTGCATGCTCTCAACAAACTCCACGAGTTCCACCCTTCATTTTGGGACGACTTTGCTTCCAACAGGTCATCGTCATTTCTGGATTCTCACGTGGATATCCCTGCTACATTCTCCTCGACGCATCTCCACATGGATGGACTCGACGCGCAAGGCGGGGGAGGTTCCATGAGCAGCAGCATCGAGTCGGCCTGGTACTCGGTCCACCCAGACGACGTGCTCGTAGAAGATCCGGAAGTGACGATCCACCGACTCCGCTCTCGACTCGGCCTTCTCGACGCGCCTTCGTATGCTTCGTTGCCTCTTTCCCAAGCAGTTCATTCGTTTCGCTCGGACCATGTCGACCCCCCATTGCAAGATGGAGTCGCTCCATTGGCATCGCCATTCGACACGACGTTCCATGTTGACGACGTTTTCAACCAAGTTGCTGCGAAAGTTGCCGCAATAGATAGCAATTTCCCACCGACGACAGAGCCACACAGTGTGCCTCAACCCGTCAGTCATGCACTCCCGATACAAGAACTCATCCCGACGCCCCCTCCGACACCGACTGTAGTACCCTTGATACAAGACCCTGCCGTCATGTCCCCAATCTATGGACCGCCGCCACCAATAGCTCTGTCATCGCCCCCCCACGAATACCACACATTTCCAGCAGAAGAGTGTCATGGGCATTTCAAAGCATGTAAAACACCGACGCCTGCTGCCGACCAAGTTGATCCCCTGCAAGCCACTTCGTCGTTTCTGGTTCCCAATCCAGAAGAGAGCTCAAACCCTCCCGCGGGGCGTCCGTCTGGGGACGTCGTCGCGCCTCCCTCCGCCAAACCACGTGGTTCAAGTGACAAGAAACCCCCTCGACGACCGAGCGTCGGCATTGCGTTTCGCCCCCCCACGAGTCGACCAGATCTCCCCTTGCGGGCCACACACAACGCTGTGCCAGTCCAAGTCACTGGAACGGCCCCCTCTACAAACGCTGTGCCAGGCCAAGTCACTGGAACGGCCCCCTCTACAAATGCTGTGCCAGTCCAAGTCACTGGAACGCCCCCCCCTCCAAACGCTGTGCCAGTCCAAGTCACTGGAACGGCCCCCCCTCCAAACGCTGTGCCAGGCCAAGTCACTGGAACGGCCCCCTCTGCAGAAGACGACGTGGGCGATGTCGTCGAGGGGCTCGTGGCGTCCGTCGTCTTGTCGTGGGTGGCGGCGGCTCCCGTTGTGAGCGTCCCAGTAGTGAACCCCATCGACCTCATCGACCCCATTGACCTCATCGACCCCATCGACCTCATCGGCCCCATCGACCCCATCGACGACGACGACGGCAGGGGCGAGGACATGCGCACAAACGACGCGAGTCCTCCTCCTGACCCGAACGACGATCGCATTGTGTCGGTGGACGCATCGATGAGGCCAGAGCAGCCAAGGGACAGTGCAGTTGACCCCGACGTGCCGCATGCTTCCATGCTACTGGAGGCCAGGGACTGGGACCAGCATGCGCCGTCGCCCCAGGAAGTGGAGGATGATGACGACACTTGCAAATACTTGGACGACGACGTGGTGCGAATGCTCGTGCATCGGATCTTGCTGTGTGAGGAGGCGCTTGCCATCCTCAACGCGAGACAAGGGCTGCAACGGGCACTGGCATACGAGGGTTAAAATAGACAAGTGACAGATGTGCAAGTATTGGTGATTCCGTCGTTGAGTCCTGTTATAAATTATACCCCGTGGATTTCAATAGTTCACATCTGAATTCGAATGACAATTGGTGGTGAACATCTAATAAACTGTATAATTCGATATGCGAAGCATTGCCCGGCGTTGATTGGCGGCATGACCATCTAGCCGTTTGATTGGTCTGTCTATGAACTCTTCCGTTTGATTGGTGGAATCGCAGGAAGTTCAGTCTACATCAATCGACTTCGTATCTTCCGAATATGTCTGGCAAAGGAAAAGCTACAGGCGGCCGCGGCAAGAAGGGCAAGTCGTCGTCCCGTTCGTCCAAAGCCGGACTCCAATTCCCTGTTGCTCGCGTCGCTCGCTACTTGAAGAAGGGCCGGTTCGCCCAACGTGTGGGAGCTGGCGCCCCCGTGTACCTTGCTGCTGTCTTGGAGTACCTGTGCGCTGAAATCTTGGAATTGGCTGGGAACGCCGCGCGTGACAACAAGAAGGCTCGCATCATTCCCCGCCATATTCAACTGGCTGTCCGCAACGACGAAGAGCTGAACAAGCTGTTGGGCCATGTGACGATTGCCTCGGGTGGGGTGCTGCCTAACATCCACGCCGTCCTCTTGGCAAAGAAAGGAACGCCTGCAACTGTCCTGGCCAAGACACACGCCAGCAAATTCTCGGCCTCCCAAGACTATTGAGTTGCCTTCTTGCATCGTACATAATTCCGTTTTTGTCGTTGTGTTGCTCCTCTATATTCATATCGCCACAGCAAATAACGATTTCTAAGACACTTTTAAACGAATACCATACTATTAATAGTTCCGATATCTTCGGGAGCAATACGTATCAATGGATATCCGGTTTACGAAATGAGCAATTTCATTGGCCACTTCCTAAAACATAGCGATTGATTGGCCAGTTCGGTATCTTTTGCGAATATGATTCGTATATACTGCATGATTGGATAAAACTCGTCATCCATGACGAATCACATCGTGACATCGATATATTGATTCATCCCAAGATCTAATATGCTTACAGTAGAGAGGTTTTGCAACTCATCTTTATCATTACCCTCAGCCACTACTGACAAAACCAGAAGTGTACCTCGCAAACTTAATTAATGATAATGTGAAAACGAATGACTAGGTCGTGGATTTGGCAATTTGTACGGACAGTTATCTTTATCATCGCATTCGACCAAGCCAATCAGGAGCTTCT